ATGACGACTTCTGTAGAGGGACTTCGGATGACGACTGACCTCGGGATCGTTTTCTTTTCTCTTTTTTTTTCCTCTTGGGTTTTTTCCATGAGGTCAGGTGATGGCCTTTAACGGTCGCACGTCCAATATGGATTCTCCATCAAAAGTTCCTGGTGACACATCCCTGACTAACTTGATTCGACTCAACAAGGAACAAACTCCGTGGGAAATAAATTTTATGGCTTTTAGCCTGACTCGATAAAACGTTCGAATTTAATCGATTAAAGTTTCTAATAATTCAAATTTAAAATAACATTATATTGTGGGTTTGTTCGTCCCTCACACAATTATTTAAAGAAAATTCAATATTGTTTATATGGAAATATTCCATTTTTAAGAAAGGTTTTACTTAGTAAATGTCTAATAGCATTTTAAAATAAATTATATTTTAAATTTAAAAATAAAACCAAATTCCAATATCAAGCTTTATTCCCATAAATTTTAATGTGTTATGCAAAATGTAGACTATATTTTAATAAAAATATTTTTTCTATTAAAATTTTTCATGAAATATTATATTGTCTGACTATGACTGTTTATTAAACCTAACTTTAAGCAAACTCCTAAAAGACTTATTTTTTCGTAAGTAACAAAACTACCTTTATATGTAAAATAAATATAATATTTGCACATAAACAATTTAATAATGTAACTTGAATATTTGTAGTAATTTTTAAAAAAAGTATTCATTTTGAGTGATAAATTACAATATAAGTAAAAAATTACTGTTACACTGAGAATAAAACACTGTAAACAGGCGGTCATTAAATTTTTGCAAACATGAAGCTAAACGGAATCGAAGTTGTAAAGTATTGGCTTGTAAACAGAAAGAGAAAGAAGAAAGCGCTGACCTCGCTAATTAGATATGAATGGTCTGGTCATAAACTGCTTGCCAGGTGGTAAACACCTGGCAGTAAACAAGTGGGTGACTACCTACATCAGGGATTGGCGAATGCGAAAGTAAGGTCCATCCATATCCGAGTCAAGTGGAACTGGGTGAAAGCTGTTTGCAAGGAAAAGCTGTAATTGGTAGGAAGTTCCCATTCAAAAAGTTTTTAAATTAGAGAGCGAGCAAGATTGAAGTGAAAAATAGCTCATGACTGGTAGCACAAGAGCCTCAGACACTTGGAAAGTCCTGCTGAGGTTAGAGAGAAAGTGTAATTGAGTATACTCCTCTGCAGGATATCCCAGCGACAGGTAAGTGCTGAGACTAAACGATCCGTGCAGGTAGAACCAATTTAACGACTGACCAAGACGACAACTCAATCGTTCCAAAAATCCAAACTGGAACAAGAGGCATCACGCTTTGTATTCCCTATGGTTCCAACTTAAATAGTTTGTATAAATTTGTAAATAAAATGTATGTACTGACTATATTGAGTGGTAAGGTGGGTATCCATCGAGCGTATATTAGAACAATTTCGAGTCGTGCTTAATTCACCAAACCAACTCTCAGACGACGGAGTCTAGAAAGGAAACTTCACTGAAGTTAATCTGAAGTAACTAGTTGATTAGAAAACATATTTCATATATTTTTGCCAATAACGTTTTGGTCACAACAATTTACACTGATTCCGAATGCTGAACACAAACGTAATTAGTACAAATATGTTGAGAAGCAACTAAGTAGCTTAGTTTACGCTACAATAAAAAATAAACATTATTCATTATGACCTACAGTTCCTGTATGATCAAAATAATAGGTACAATTGCAGCTGCATATAACTGAGAAAACATGCGCAGCTATCATCCTCTATAGCAAAGGACGTCAATGCCTTGGTGCATAATTAGGTTAAACCTGGAAGCATTCAGTATATGAGTTCCAAGCATATGGCAAGGATAATACACTAGAGAAAGGACTACCCCATGTAATTTTCCAGAGAAAACAAAAAAATAATATACCAGATTTCTAAATTATACATGCACATAACAGGAAGGTTAACATTGAATACACTATCGAATTAAATGTGTATGTATTACCTGAAAATTTACTTCAGATGAATATCTAATAAGGAGGGGAAAGTACAAAACAAATAATACTCCATAACTCATAACGAGTCCAATTTGGCTTCCTGCATCATCTAAAGTTGCAATTATAAACTCAAAATTACTGATATTATACACTATAAACAACTAAATATACCCACCTGGATAAATCGATAAAATGAAAATAATAACAGTAATAAGTACATTTATGTAACAGATGATGTAACCATATACAGAAAGGCATCGATTTAATGCGAGGTAAACAATCCACGTTGCAGTGTGCTTATCCTGATACTTACTAAAAGTGGATTTAAATTTATGTTCAGCTTCAAATGCTCTAATTGTTGTCAGTCCATAAAGAGATACACTGAGATGAGAAAATACTGGACTTCTTGCTGTTAAAAGAAATTCTATATAAAATTTAATTATTTGAGTGAAACCTTATTAAATATAACAACTGTTTGCATAGTGTATTTAAAAAAGCAAATGATTAGCAATTCTCTACTTAAATTACATAACACCCTTATGCAAAAAGTTTTAAATTTACATTTTTTTAATTTTTAAATAATTTACAAGTGAATTAATATAAATTTGTAAGAAGTTTAAATATATAAAATCGTATATTATATATAATGTATACGTGCTTACATTATATACATAAATCTCAGAAGCAACTGATCACAACTAAAATAATATAACACAAACAGAACATTGTAAACATTCTGCCAAAAAAAGTAAAACGTTGATTGTTAAGTTTTATCAAAAGGAAAACGCAACAAAGTGCTAAGCACGCTTTTAAATTTTTTGCAGAATAAATGTGCAATTAGTTATGTGTTGCTTTTAGTATGCACGTGTCCCATTGCAATTTTTTATTATAAATTAATTTTTAATTATGAGTTCTGTCAATAACGAAGTACATTTACAATCAAAAGCATATTGAAACTGCTGTTAAAATTAAGTACATTCGAACTGTATAGTACAATTACAGAATGTAAAGTGATGAGTTGTGAAAGAGTTTCATGACATTCAGTTAAATACAATAAACTATTAAACAATTGAGAGTTGTATACACTTACATTTTCCTTCCATAAGTTTTATACCTTTCAGCACACGGCTGTGAATCGTCGATATAGCATAAAATATTATTGAAAGCAACAACATCAATATGAGAACGTAAGGACACAGGATTGCTTGAAGAACACATATTCCAGCGATCAGAGAAAATGTCTAAAACATAACAATTTAAAATGCTAATAAATGAAAACGTATTTATTATTTTAGTATGCTACAAATTATTTGAATTATTACTATTTATATGTAAATCAATATTATATCAAAGGAAATAATATCTATTTATTTTAGTATTTTAATGGGAATTTATTGCAACACGCGACAAGTCCATCATTATTCAAATATCACAGGTAATTTTGAAGTTTCTCATCAAATATTATTTATAATACAATATTAATGAATTTATCATATGTTGTGACTATGCTCAATAACACAGACAAAGGGAGAGACTGTGAACAATATATTTATTGTCCGTTCAGGATCACCATCTACCAACAGTACAACTACAGCGGGACAGTGGAACAACTACTCTTTCCTCATATGACTGACTACTAACTCTCCTTCTTGCTGTTAAAGGGCGCCTTCGTCATCGCATCCCTCACATTATATGCTATTTAAGTAATAACTGCAAAACCAGGATAGCAATCATCATGACTGTCATTGAGTTTTATTTATTTTCCAAATTGATAAAGTTTGTCAGATTAAACTGAGCGTATTTTACATTTTTGCACTTGAACTAATTACATCACTACCGAATTCGTAAAATGAGGTCGCCTGAGATATAAACATCTTTACTTATGTGAGTATTTACAAGTAAGATATATTTTATTCAATAAGAAAAAATAAGTTTATAAAATTAATGAAATAAAGTAAAATTTTAACGTTAAAACTGACACAGTTTTCACCATTTTTGAAAAACGGAATTAAAGCTTTCTTCTAAACGAAATCTTATCACACCTTTCCAATAATCTTATCACACATCTCTGAAAAACATCTGTCATCTGAGTGAGGATAAAATACCTGTCTGATGATAAAATATGTCTTCAGGTGTTATAAAACCAGAAACCTAATTGGAGGAAATCTGAGATAAAAGAGGCAAATTCCTATCATTCAGAGTAGTCCACAACGAAGGAAACTTGCCATACTTGACAGGCAGTTATGAGAAACTGACATTGCGATATGAGACCGCCCTAGAAGAGACATAGAAGGGGACAGAAGATTCTCGCATAAAAGAAGCATTCAGGCATTGAAGTCCCGTCTCGCTACTCTATATTTAAAATATGGAGAAGTCTATCTGATACGGAGACAGAGGAAGCCTTCCTCTCTCTCCATATCAGATAGACTTCTCCATATTTTAAATCATTTGGATTGCATCATCTAGAGGTAATTTTTTATACATTATTGTAAACTCTCTTATTCATCTTTTAGAGGTCGTTCCTATTCCTTACTTTATAGTTTTACTTAGTTCATAGTTTATTTCGTTTTGTAGCTTTATACTTAGTAAATCTATTACATTAGTATATCTATAAATTCTAAGGTTTCTGAAAATGCTTTTGTTCACTCAATCAATTTATACGGACCCTGATCGAACTTAGCCATAACGTTCCTCCCCACTCGCAACCAAGACTCTCCTAAACGCCATTCAGTGACACTGAGCGAATCTCACGACTCGACAATTACAGGGCTAACATAACCTTGCATGTATTCTCACATTTACAACCGAAAAAAGTATTTTGAACGCTGATCTATTCCATTACTTCATATTACTTTTTTTATTATTTCACTTTTCTTCACGTGTTCACATTTACGACTTGTAAATGTTAAGACTTTCGTATGAATATGTCTAGTTTTGTTTGCCTATTTGTGTCTTTTATTAGAACAAGCGTTCGCTTCAGTATCGTTAGAATTATTCATGTAATATCTACTCAAAGAACGATAGAATTGTTTATTTTGTGCTTACTGGCGATAAAATTGCAAAAAAATTAGCAAATATTTGGAAATATGAATCGTAGGAAAGTATGAGGTTTACTCGTCTAATTCTACGAAATCGGTGCTAAACTAAGTAGTGATAAGATCGATTGTGATAAATAATAGCATTTGACTTTGCATAATATACGTCTCATGAACAAACCAACATTAATCTCTCTACAAAGGCGTATAATATAATAAGATTTTGAGTATGCTAATTATTACAAAAAGAGGTATATGAAGTATTTTGTAATAAATAATTATAGTTTATAATTTACAAATTAAATAATATTTCTATCATTGTCTATGTTTTTATTGTAAAAAACTGCTTTTTTATATTAGAGAGGTTGCGGCCGACGTTTGCAGCTCAAAACGTGAACGTTGGATGTCGAGCGCCTTCATCTAGCAATTCTACAAGGTTCGTTATGGCGTTTGCTACATCTAGCATGGTGAGTAGAACTTTGGCTTAAATTTCTTCATTTTTCGTGTTTAGAGATAAAATTATGACGTATTTTATTAAAATAATGATTATTTAAGCATTTATGAATAATATTGTGAAGAAACAGACGATTTTAATCTAGAAATCATTTAATTATTCAATTTTTTGCAAGCGATGCATAGTTCTTATAGAATTTACATTTATTACTGTTCGTAATAGCTTATCATAATTCTGTAGAAGTAGGTTTGTTCTTTCACAGCATCTTCTACCATCAACAGCGTAATACATTTGTAAATTTTCTAAAAATAATTTTCCAAGCTGCTTTCAGATTTACATAAGCCACTACTTCCCTCAACAAAAGTATGAGGTAGTCCTATTGTCCTACAGTACAGTACAATAGGAGACATGACTAATTAAAAATAATTATTTAGTGTTATTAAACATCCTGTAAATACTTTAAAATAGTTTAATTTATTTATTTACCTTCGCTAGTAACATTTGTCATTGTTAAATGTTTTCGCCATTTTTCAACAATATCCCATGAGTCAGTGAACGTGTGGTGCAACATGTTTTACTTGGAGTTCAAATGTCAAACATGTACTTCTGCTTGCCATACAACTTTAATGTTTGAACTTCGGCCACAACCTCTCTATTAATTAATGGATCTACATACTCTATTTTCATTTTGAGAAGTGCTGACAACATTATCATTCTGGAGAACTTGCAAAATCAGTTTTTCTATTTTTTTCTATTCAGTAAATTATTAGGAAAAATAGCATAATATAATGGCATCTTTACTGCTTAATAAATTTCTATTCATTATGCAATAGAGATGCCATTCCACAAATATTTTATTGTATCAGCCTGAGCACATTTAAAGTTTTATTATTATTCAATGTCCACACAGCAAACAGAGTAGAAATGCTGGTTATCAAAAACATAAAACCACAAGTCGAACGCTTCCCAAGCGTTTAAGACTGTATGATATATCTTCGAATGATGCGAACAGATCAAAGTAAGGTGGCCTTTTGCAGTTGTAATTTTGTCAATATTTATGGCTTGTAAGACACTTACAAGCCATAAATATTGACAAAATTACTATCTGTCAACTGCAAAAGGCCACCTTACTTAGTACTGCTTTTTTAATTGGACCTTTCAATTTATGTATCCTTTCCAACTCATCCCATGCTTCTTTGGACGTTTCTGCCCTCTTGTGGCTCAACTGGTTCTGCTTATGTGGCTCAACTGGTTCTGCTTATGTGGCTCAACTGGTTCTGCTTATGTGGCTCAACTGGTTCTGCTTATGTGGCTCAACTGGTTCTGCTTAATGCCTAGTAAAATTAATGCTAGAGCCTTTTCATCTTTTCTTTGCCAATCTATTCAACTGGTTTTTCTATGGATCTATTTACATATGGCCAAAGTTTGTTACAAATAAGTATGCTATGCATCTGTAACTTCCATGATTCATAGTTACCATCATTGAGTTTGTCTATATGCTGGTCCCACACTATTCATGGTGTCATTCAAACTATCAATAGTTATGCCTTTCGTTAGCAAGCAGGAATATATCACTTACTTGATTCTCTAGTTAAATCCTCTTCATATGGTATACCTTGATCATTAAATCTTCCTAGATATATTTATTAGAATATTTATAAAGTTGTATATTAACACTAAATGTTTTTATATTATCTAATTATCTTCAGGATTCATATAAAGGATCCTGCATAATATCCTTATGGGTTTTGGTTCTTAGTTAAATTGGTTGAAATTTTAGTATGCTATAGCAACTTGACTCACTGATCTTAATGGGCTTGAAAATAGCTAGTTTTGCAAGAGCTGTTTGAAATGAGTATCTTATTATTATTTGTCCAAATTAGTCTGTACTTTAAAATTGCTATGCTATGGAAAATTTTAGTTTATTTCATTCCAAATTAGGAGTCAAAAAACATTAAATATAGTTGGAAGCAAGTTTTTAGTTAATTTTTTTATGAAAATTTTATTATAATGATTATGGAATATAGGCATTAATTATTAATAAGTGTTTATTTAAAAATCATTATAGAAATCAGCAACAGAAGAAAACTTCTATTATAACTTGCTGCATCATAAATTTTTTTTATTAATTCCATCCTATGGCTTTTAAAAATTGAATATTAGAATGACATAGGTTTACAACAACGTAATCGAATGAAGAAAGACGCCGATTCTTTTCTTCCAGTGGTTCTAAATTATTTAATTAAAATTTATAATTATTAAATTTATCAAGAGATGGCACCTAANTCATTAATTTTCATTTTCATGTAGTAAAGGCTCTATGCCTTCATAAAGGACGTACTTTTCCTTTGTTTAAGGGTATTTGGGCAGTTTATTCTCTGTTGTATTCTCAACCAAACAATACATACAAGTACAGTACAATATTTTCTGAGGAAACACACATACTTATCCTTTTTTAACCCCATTCCTGATAACCCGGCATTTTCACAAACTCGGCCACCCTTTGGTCCACATTAGGTCGAGTTTGAGGCTCTACTGTACCAGCTTTTAAGTTCATCTCAGTAGAACTGAGGGTCTTGTGATCTGAACCATGTCAGAGCAGCTCTTTTTACATCTTCAACTGATGGAAAATTGGTACCTTTCAGCAACTTATCCATTTGTAGGTTGTCGACTTCTTTGGAGTGTTATCACCATAAACTTGTTTCAGACCATCAATGATTTGCCTATTCTGACAACCAAGTTTCACCATGAACTTTATATTTGTTCTGGTCTCAATTTTGATGGATTCCATGTTGCCTGAATGGTGCTTGACTTTCAACTGGCAGAGCTGCGTTCTTATCTACATTTAAGGGTTTATGTTTGAACATGTTATAATATGTTAGTACAAGAATGTTCATAGCATTGAAATCAAAATCCTTCCAAACAATTTTTAGTTATGGACTTTTTTTATGAACTTTTTGAAGCACCCACATATAAGAACTTACAAGTTTTAAAAAACATCACTATAGAAAAAGAAGTCAGAAAGTGTTAAATTATTATAAATATAAGATAAAAATGTCAGGGAAAGAATTGTAAAATATCAGCTGAAAAGGGACTAAAGGTTTGAAATGCATATCAATTTCAAATAAAAAGATATTACGTGTATATTGTCGTCTGTCAAGTCAATTGTTGTGACAAATGTAGTAGTAAGCCGACTGAATAGCAATAAAGATATCAACAAAAATATTGTTTTGACATAGAGGGCATACATAAAAAGTATTGATAATGTGAGGTTGCAGAGTTGTGCTAAAAGGTGGAATGGAAGAAGAGTGCCCTTGTGCTCGTATGTGGCACTCTTCTTCCATTTGTAACTCAACATTTTTAAAAATTATCCAAATTTATTTAAACACAAAAATAAAACTTACAGCAATATTATTCTTGGATCTGCAGGTGAAAATTGTAAAACTTCAGATTCTCTTCTTTATTTCTATAGAGAGAGAGCCCCAAGAGAAGAATCCTTCAGAGTCCTCTTTGGAGTTGACTGCCCCATGGTGTTGTTGTAGAAAGTCTGTTGAGAAGATGATCAGCCCAGTTTGAATTGAGGGTGAAGTGAAGGACCAACCAAGGAAGATGCTGCACAATGAAAAGTCAGAGAAAGAAGCTCTCTTGTCATTGAACTCAGTTTTTATCCCAGATCAACCACTTTGGTTATTTTTCTTCATCCCACTTTCTACTTAGTCATCACTGGTACTAAGTGTAACAAGGTCTGAACTTAGATTGCGGGATGAACCAATTGATCCCAACTAGAGAGAGTTAATCTGAGGACTTTCATTGTCCAGTTTTCCTTTGTCTAATTTCTAAGAAAAGGTTTTTTTCACTATTAAATATAATATTCGCTTTTATGGACATAAAAATTTATATTTTAATATTAATACATTTAGATATTTTTAAATTTTAGTGTTGTTCAGAGACATTTCCAGAGCCTCACAATAAAATTTGAACCAAAACATTCTAAATGATGATGTTTGAAAACAGTAGATTAGATTAAGAAAGGGCATTTGATTTTAGGGCTAATTGAATAACTTACGGTAATTTATTTGTATGATTTCTGTTGAATAATATTATAGTGACTATTTATATACTGTATTTAAAATAAGCTTTGTTAACTGTTTAAGAAGAGTCATCATAGAAAACAGTGTCATAATTTCACATGTAGTAAAGACATTACTTTCTCTAAATAAGAGAGATGATGTAAACTATATTCAAGCTCTGGTCTTTATATTCTTTGTTTTTTATTAGAGTAAACAGTATTTTTTTTCAATGCTATTTACAAATAATAATAAGCACAAAGCACATAAAAATTACATTTAAAAACTCATATCCATTAATTAATTTAATTAGTCCATAAATGAGATGTCATAATTAAGAACTGTACCAACTAATTCTGGTTTGCTTTAGAATCTAATGATAAAAATGATTGAAAATGAATAAAAAAATTTTCCTCATGATTACTTTTATTTTTTAACTATATGAAAAAATACTAAAATATTATTTTTTAAAAAATTCAGATTTTTTTATTGTTTATATTATTTGAGATATTTATCTGATAAAATTAAAGTTTAGAAAATAATTTTTTTTTTAGATTTTCAATTGAAATATATAAAGTAGATTTATCAAAATCACAACTTGCTGTAAAAAAATAAAATGTTAAAAGTTTATCAACAAAAGACACAGTCAACTGGAATTATGGCATATGAAGTTTATTTGAAATATATTGCAATAAAGCCAAAACATTCAGGATAATTATTTAACTAATGATAAATGTATATTCTTGTTGCTGATTAAATTTTTATTAAATTTTTATTAAATTTCCCTTAGATCTTAAATATGGCTTGATATACAATAAGATGTATATCAATACCACACACTGTACAATATTACTATGAACTATACTACAGCATAAAATAGTACACATGAATAATATATCCATTTTATACTGTAGGAAAGTCATAAGATAATTTTTGAAATATTCAAACTGACATAAAAGTAACAACCATGTTTTTACAGTTGTTACTTTTGAACAGCTTAAAATCCTATAAAGACAGATTTATCAAAAGCCAATTGTCATAAATTGTCTCCGAATGTCCATCCATGTCCTCAAAACACATCATAACCCATGCTATTGCATAAGTTATATTAAACACTTGATAATACTAGATTATTTATAAAATTATCTTACATCAAAGAAAATATGACTAATTAATTTATAAGCTAAATATGAATAATTTACAAGTAGAAAAACAATATTTATACATTTACAAGTATCACTAATAACTTTGTTTCTATTTCAATCATTGTATTGCACTTTTAACAAAAATTAATATTGGTATAAAAAGACACAACTAATTCAGTTTATAATTTATATTTGATTATCTAACAAACATTTCAATGCTTTTAAAAGAAACAAAGTTACATCCTAATACTTTAAATTCAGACATTACAATTTGGATATTGTAAGGAATATTTATTTACAACAAATATCTAATCAAAAATAATTTGTTATTGCATCCAATGAAGCAATGTTCAACAAGATGTTTTCTATCCATTCTTAATGATTAAGAATAGACTGAATATGATATACTCTATGATATAAGAATTTCTTGCTGTGATCTATTATTATTTGGGTTTTATAAAAATTTCATATGTTTTACAAATAAAACTTTTGAAATACAATAGTTATTTTCTAGTTTGCAGTTTTATTTTAATGAATACAAATATAAAAACGTTTTTGTCTAAACATTAGCTATGCAATAATTTACTAATTATTCAAATGAGAATAATTATAATATTAGTATAAATGTAGAAATTTAACATATCCATTATCATTCTAAGAAAATAGTGGGTCATATTTATTTCTGTTATGTTAATTGAATATAAACAAATTCAAAAATATTTTGGAGAAATCAAAATATGTTTTCTATAGTATTTATGCCACTTGATGTTTAAGTCAAGCTTACAGAATATTATAGTAAAAAGATGAACACACTGGGTGTAATGATTGGTGTTGGACTTGCTGGACCAAAGCAAAAGCAAACTTCACTTACACATACCATAACCTTATCAAAATCACCAGATCATGCAAAAAACAAAACTATTATTCTCCTGCAAAAGACATATTTTCATGATTGGCAAGCTAAAGATGTAAGGCATCTTTTATAGCAGCTATCTGAAATGCTTTATGTATTTCTTACTTGGAATTTTGCATGTTAAAAATTAAGTAAAATTTCATCAACTTAATGCAAACCACAGAAACATACTGTTTAAATATTTGCATTTTTACAATACATTGAATTAGGTTTCTGCCATCTTGTCAAATCACATGTAACAATTTTTTAAAATACATATTTCTCATTGTTCCATTGCAAAAACTATGATTTAAGCAAAAAATCTTAATAAAAAATACATAAATTGTTTAATTTCTACACTACTGATAATTTTTATTGCTTCTGGTTATAAAACTAACTGATAAATTAATATATCAATTCCTTTACTATAAAATAAATAATCAATCCTTAACTAATTCAAGAAATAACAATGCTGATTGTATATAAAAAACATTATTCAATCATCATTAAAAAAAGAGGCATACTATCGCAGATATTCTCACTTTGTATGAATAATCATAATGTGGTAATTATTCATAATATAAAAATTAAGCAGTTTTCTCTGACTACTTTGAAAAAATATACAATTACAAAAAACATTCTACAAAATTTTTACAATGTTAAACAAATAACTACAGGTACATAAGTACAAATATATGTGAAACATTTTAAAATGATTATTCTTTTCTTAATATACTTCACTTTACAATATAATACAATACTAGCTGCCAGCATATTCTAATAAATCTCATTAAAAAAAATACATATATAAAATAAATTGAGCATGTATATATACAAAAACTAGTTAGTATCAAAATAGTAACATCCAAAATAATTATTTTTTATCATAGGCCATGCAAAGAAATTCATCAAGCAGTTCACTTGGAAGATCATAAAAAACATAACTAATGTGAAAAGCTTTCCTGATGGCTAGGAGATCATCCACGTTAATTGGATGTCCTTTAGCAGACCACACAGTTAAAGAACCATTAGGAACTTGAAATAATAAACTCTCAATTTCAGGCACTGAATATTTTAAATATGAAGCACATACAGGGAACATTACTGGTTGGGTAAGTCTGTATTCCTTAACTAGGCCAATCATTCGATCTATCATCTCTTCTGAATAACTGTAAAAAATTTTAATATATTTGGATCAGAATTAACTAATTTTGTAAAACTAAAAATGTAATTAACTACTTAGTGTACATTCAATAAAAAAGTAAAACATTATATAAATAACTAATTTACTATAGTCATTTTAAGAAAAAGAGCAAAGTCAATATGATGCTATCAAGTGTGCATGAGTGTACTTGTATCTGCAATGAAATATAATTATTGAATATTGTTGCAAATTACCATAATTGCTTCTGCATTTTATATGTACAATAATGAACAAAATATTGCTTATTTTGAATTCACATAAAAATTGTTAATGGTGCATTTGTCATTTGTTAGTAATACTTGCTATCAGGTTTTTGCCAATTTAGTTTTTTGGAATTGTAAAATTGAAATGTAAGAATCTATGAACTGATAAAGATAAATGTCATGCTATAAATCAATTAATCTTATTACATGATATTATAGTACTTTTGTTTCTAATTCATCAAAACCATTTGCAGATAATATTCAAAATACCATTCTTAAATATAATTTTTGAATAGTCAGAATATTAAAACTAACATCTTACAAAAATTGTAATTTTATGTTCATGTAAGATGTTAATTACATAAAAACAACAGTTCAATCATTTTTGGGCTAATGTAATCTTCAGGAACTGAACAAAAAATGTAACAAATGAATAATGTAAACAAATAAATAAAAATGCAATTCTATAGAAGTGTAACAAAAAGTTCTTATAAGCATATTTCAAAATTATAAATACACAAATAAAAATATAAACCACTATCAAAGTAATAAATTAAATAATATAAAGGTGAAACTGTTTAAAATGCCTTATTTTTCTTAATAAAAACAAAACTACTAAATTCCTGAATATGACTTTTTATCTGTGCTATTCTGTGGCACAGATAAAAAGTCATATTGTCATTATGTTCTACACTTATAATATATATATTTATGGTCTAGTAATTTTGACAATATCCCCATGTTCAATTAAGTCACAATTCTGCTTTTCTTCAAAAATCTGTCTCTCTATTAGACAGGTTGCAGCTGACATTTCCAGCCCAAAATGTGAATGCTAGATGTCAAGTGCTGCCATCTGGCAATTCTAGAAGGTTGACAATGGTGTTTGCTACGTCTAGCAGGGCAAGTAGAAACTTCTTAAACTTCTTTCATTTTTTTGTGTTTGGGGTTAAAATTATGATGTATTTTATTAAAATAATGATTATTTAAGCATTTATGAATAATATCGTAAAGAAACAGACAATTTTAATCCAGAATTTATTTAATTATTCAATTTTTTTGCAAGTGATGTGAAGTGCCTATAGAATTTACATATTTTATTATATTATATATAATAAAATATTTATTATATATAAATTATTTATATAGAACTGTTCGTAATAGCTTATCATAATTCTGTAGAAGTAGGTTTGTTCTTTCACAGCATCTTCTACCATCAACAGCGTAATACATTTGTAAATTTTCTAAAAATAATTTTCCAAGCTGCTTTCAGATTTACATAAGCCACTACTTCCCTCAACAAAAGTATGAGGTAGTCCTATTGTCCTACAGTACAGTACAATAGGAGACATGACTAATTAAAAATAATTATTTAGTGTTATTAAACATCCTGTAAATACTTTAAAATAGTTTAATTTATTTATTTACCTTCGCTAGTAACATTTGTCATTGTTAAATGTTTTCGCCATTTTTCAACAATATCCCATGAGTCAGTGAACGTGTGGTGCAACATGTTTTACTTGGAGTTCAAATGTCAAACATGTACTTCTGCTTGCCATACAACTTTAATGTTTGAACTTCGGCCACAACCTCTCTATTAATTAATGGATCTACATACTCTATTTTCATTTTGAGAAGTGCTGACAACATTATCATTCTGGAGAACTTGCAAAATCAGTTTTTCTATTTTTTTCTATTCAGTAAATTATTAGGAAAAATAGCATAATATAATGGCATCTTTACTGCTTAATAAATTTCTATTCATTATGCAATAGAGATGCCATTCCACAAATATTTTATTGTATCAGCCTGAGCACATTTAAAGTTTTATTATTATTCAATGTCCACACAGCAAACAGAGTAGAAATGCTGGTTATCAAAAACATAAAACCACAAGTCGAACGCTTCCCAAGCGTTTAAGACTGTATGATATATCTTCGAATGATGCGAACAGATCAAAGTAAGGTGGCCTTTTGCAGTTGTAATTTTGTCAATATTTATGGCTTGTAAGACACTTACAAGCCATAAATATTGACAAAATTACTATCTGTCAACTGCAAAAGGCCACCTTACTTAGTACTGCTTTTTTAATTGGACCTTTCAATTTATGTATCCTTTCCAACTCATCCCATGCTTCTTTGGACGTTTCTGCCCTCTTGTGGCTCAACTGGTTCTGCTTATGTGGCTCAACTGGTTCTGCTTATGTGGCTCAACTGGTTCTGCTTATGTGGCTCAACTGGTTCTGCTTATGTGGCTCAACTGGTTCTGCTTATGTGGCTCAACTGGTTCTGCTTATGTGGCTCAACTGGTTCTGCTTATGTGGCTCAACTGGTTCTGCTTATGTGGCTCAACTGGTTCTGCTTATGTGGCTCAACTGGTTCTGCTTATGTGGCTCAACTGGTTCTGCTTATGTGGCTCAACTGGTTCTGCTTAATGCCTAGTAAAATTAATGCTAGAGCCTTTTCATCTTTTCTTTGCCAATCTATTCAACTGGTTTTTCTATGGATCTATTTACATATGGCCAAAGTTTGTTACAAATAAGTATGCTATGCATCTGTAACTTCCATGATTCATAGTTACCATCATTGAGTTTGTCTATATGCTGGTCCCACACTATTCATGGTGTCATTCAAACTATCAATAGTTATGCCTTTCGTTAGCAAGCAGGAATATATCACTTACTTGATTCTCTAGTTAAATCCTCTTCATATGGTATACCTTGATCATTAAATCTTCCTAGATATATTTATTAGAATATTTATAAAGTTGTATATTAACACTAAATGTTTTTATATTATCTAATTATCTTCAGGATTCATATAAAGGATCCTGCATAATATCCTTATGGGTTTTGGTTCTTAGTTAAATTGGTTGAAATTTTAGTATGCTATAGCAACTTGACTCACTGATCTTAATGGGCTTGAAAATAGCTAGTTTTGCAAGAGCTGTTTGAAATGAGTATCTTATTATTATTTGTCCAAATTAGTCTGTACTTTAAAATTGCTATGCTATGGAAAATTTTAGTTTATTTCATTCCAAATTAGGAGTCAAAAAACATTAAATATAGTTGGAAGCAAGTTTTTAGTTAATTTTTTTATGAAAATTTTATTATAATGATTATGGAATATAGGCATTAATTATTAATAAGTGTTTATTTAAAAATCATTATAGAAATCAGCAACAGAAGAAAACTTCTATTATAACTTGCTGCATCATAAATTTTTTTTATTAATTCCATCCTATGGCTTTTAAAAATTGAATATTAGAATGACATAGGTTTACAACAACGTAATCGAATGAAGAAAGACGCCGATTCTTTTCTTCCAGTGGTTCTAAATTATTTAATTAAAATTTATAATTATTAAATTTATCAAGAGATGGCACCTAACACCTAACTCTAGTGCCAAATTGTTTTATAAATTATTAATATTATAGCCATTTCTAACCCAATAATATTTGGGGCTCCGATAAGTTATGCACTAACCCATTGGTTAGTGCATAGCTTTAAATATATCAGGTTTAGTGATGATGTTTGTTTAATGTAATTCTTATAACTATTTTATCTAGAATTTTAAATTACTTTTATTTTTTATAAAAATTATATTTTACTCTTACCCTATTTTCTGTGAACTTCCTGGAATGACTTCTGCAGTCCATCCAATGGACAAAATTGAATTAGGAAACCTGGCTCGACATAAGATAAGGAATGTCCATAAGTCAATAGGTACATGAGATGGATTGCCAGGTCCTGGTAGGATATCAGCATTTAGAATAATAGGTCCATTAAACTAAAATAAAAAATATAATTAAAATTAGTTCAAACTTTTATATTAATGCTTCTATTTCCAATTTTTTATTACTGAACCAACTTTCATATTTCAAAAATTTCTCTTATGATTGGAAACCTTAAAGAAACAAAGAATAAAACAGCTTTTTTCCATATTAATCATAGGTTTGGCAGGTCCAAAATGGGGCAATTGGATGAAGAGGGAGAGGACCTGATTTATCCAAGACTTATTGCCCAGAAAAATTCCTGGTGTTGTTTGCCTACATTTGATTCCAGTGTGGCATGATGCCATTTATTCATATATAGTTTTTATGTTATGTTATTTTCTATCATTTTCTTTTCCTAGCCTATCAATTTCCCTTTTGTTCTTGATTTTCCTTTATTTCCAAGTTCGAGAACTTTCCACCCTTGCCTTACTTCCATCGGTGTGAGTGTTAGATAGTAGAGTGGAGAAGGCCCTGAGGGCAAGCATCAGTATAGTCAGCAGTTTTTGGTCAAGTTCCCAAGGAAGGCAGACATGCAGAGGATGAGTTCAGGGCTTTGAGTGGTGTCTGAAGCAACAGGGTATGACCGCTAAGAAACAGTCGGAAGCACCAGTGAGTCCTGAGAGTTGAAATGGGAAATCTTGTTTGGAAGACCAAAAGAAAAGTGAACTAGTGACAACTAAAAGAGAAAATACATATACCAGTGAGATTCAGGAGAACTGCAAAGATATATTTGGATTGTTTCATCATAATATGTGAAGCGACGGGTACCCCTTTTCTAAGACTTCTTTCTTTTTTCGTAAATTTCCCTCCCCCTATCTAGCATAGCTTCCCTCTTTTAGCATTAATTAGAATAAAATACATAGTTTGTAAGATAGTTTTAAGCACAGCTGATCTTTGTGTATACTTTCGTGATTTGAACCCCACGTGTGTGAATCCTAAAAAGTGGTTAAGAAGATCCTTTTGTGTAAGGATCTTGATTGTACTATACTGTTGTATAGAAGTATTGACTAACAATGCACTAGAGCTGGGACCTGTTTTTTTTTTGTGTTCATACTGTATAAAATAAAGTTTTGTTCTTTATGTTATACCTGTTTCTTATTCTTATCACACTGAACATACACCAGTCCTGCAGAGTTGTATGCTGATGCAAACTGTCTCAGCCATCTGGCTGTTCTAATTTGAATTTCATCAATTATTTTTATATTAATTTACTAAATTCTAAGTAGTATTTAATATATATTTTAGGGTCAATGACACAAGCACAGAAAATCATGTGAATTAGCTACAGTCAATGTAGTGAGTATATGAAATCAGGTGAATGGCTGGTCATTTACAACATTTGCATATTGTGTTGGGTGATGACATGAATGCAGGGACAGGGATGTCAATCACTGCTCTAGCAGATAATATTGGCAATGCACTAAAATAGTAATGTCCAGAACTGCTGTATTGGTAGTCATCACACTTCATGTAAATTTTGTGTTTTTATTTTTGTTCTTGTTAGGTTCTTTTAAAGTTTAGATTAAAGTAGTGAAAATGGAAGAAAAGTTTTATACTGAGTTATACAAATTAATGAATGAGAAGAAAAAAGACAATAAGTTTACTTTGTTCCAATGAATATACAAAAAACTAAAGGAAATAGTGAAATATCAAAGACATCTGACTCAAAAAGAACCCAATCACATTACAGATTTGTTAAGAAATATGATATGCTAATTATCAATGGCAAAGAGCAGTTCTTATCAAAATATGTTTGATTAAATTGTGTACTTGTAAACTAAATAATGCAAATCTTATTTTCATCTGAAATTGTTTAATTTGACTTTTGATATTAAAGTTTTTTAGATTATTTTTTGATTAAATTATTATACAAATTTGATATAAAGAGAAGTAAATACTACTGTCATACTTAAATATTGATATTAGAAATTAATTTCAAATTTAACTTGCAGAAACAAAAGGTTTATAACTCCCTCACTGGATTTCTCTTTCCTTTTTGAAGTTTAAAAATTTAATTTAATAACTTGCCTGATAAAATATGTCATAATTTAGTTTATTGTGGAAAATTTGTGCTTTAATTTAACACCTGACAAATAGGATTATAATAGAACTATTCTGCAGTATATAATTCACAGCACATGATATATATGGAATGATTTTTAATACTGAACCTTAATGTGCAGTTGTATTTATTCATTATTGAATCAAATTATTGCTATTTATTCAATAATAAGTTAACAGTTTCTTATTTGTTGAATATAATTTATTTATCATCAACAATCATCTTTATATTTTAAAATTAAAATAATATTTCATTTCTTGTCTATAAATACTGTACTTCCTCAATCCTATATGCACCATGACTTTGAAATTAAATTTTAAGATTTTTATGGAAGGAAAATTATAAAATAATTATCAATTTTATTAAGTTTTGTTAAATAACAAGCTAGGAAAACAATACAAATATCACAAAACAGATAATGTCCAGCAGCTCTATTTCCACACTCTTTTGCATACGCAATAACTTTTCTTCTGATGCAGCATCATAATGTCATCTCAAAGGTAATATAAACATAAAAAAAGAAGTTTAAATTAATGACTAACAAAGTAGTAAAAATCTAGGAAATACAACTGTTTTACAATTATAAAGATTCAATAATTCTGATGTATTTTTTTATCATTATAATTAAACACAAAACCACCATAAAATTTCAAAATTAAACTTATTTACAAGTTTATTAAAATGGAGTGAAAACATTATAAAATAATAATAGAATTTTAGGACAATGACAAAAAATTCAGGAAAATCCATTACAGATTAAAAAGGAGATATACATTAAGATGTGACTAGGAAGGTCAACCAGGTCATGTGATAAAAGGCATTGTCCTTATATTTATGTAATAAACATAATTTCTAATGTAGAGGGTAATTTATTTTTATTCAAGTTATCCAAAAAGATCTTAAAATTTCAAATTAATACATGTAATATAATATTAATATCTGTAGGAAATCTATAGTACAATCTATTAACTTCAAATTAACCAAAAATTTGAATTATCCAAATTCAAATTAATGAACATTTACTATAATATTCAGAAATTTTTATTTTCAACAATTTGTAAAACAAGTAATAAAACAAAATGCAGATAGTTTCTTCTATGTATAAGTAAAGTGAACATGAAAAAAAATCTTTTACAAATCATTCTTACAGAATTTTATAAAATTAAATCAAATTTTATCAATATGCTTAAACTAATATATCTTTATCTGCTTTGAAACATTTTTACTAAACATGTGATCTTTATTATGTTTTAACCATTGATTCAGTGGAGATGACTACATCATAAATGTAAATTCAACTTTTAGCTTTCGTTCTGCTTTCATAGCTGCGCAATTGCTTTCATAGAGTAAATATACACTTGAAAAACATCTGTTATATTTAATAATTTGAAAGATGTTAAAATATTGCAGGTTAAATAAAAAATCAATTTTTATTTAATCTACATATTTACTAATACTTTTCTGTTTAAAAAATTATTTGTTTAAATTTAATGCAAGCATCATCTTTAACAAATTACTTTAAATTAATATATATATATATAAACTTGATTAATTGTTGAATCACTGTGGAGTCAATCATTTGAATCTGATTCTAATAAAACTTGATAAATGTTTAGCTCTTAACACAGGGAGCTCCTTGTCCAAATAATAAGACTCACTTCTCAAGCATTTCCAAAAAATGCACCTGAAAATTGAGTGTTTAACTTATAAGGCTTTGAAAGCCTTATAATTATTTATTTATTTTTTAATAATATCTGTTAAGAGGTATAAATTATTTGAAAGTAGATATCAATAAAATAGACAATTAGACTGAAGATAAAAAAATAACAAAAACAAAAAACTATAGATACAACACAGATAACCTGCAAGTTATACACACACAAACACAATACATATATATATGCCTATAGTCCTTTTTTTTACTTCTTCTTCTTTATATATAATCCCACTAATCTCCAAACAATGCTGTACAATAATTAATTCAGATTAGCAAGAGTATACTGTACTTTCAAACCTTGCAAATCATTGTAATCCACACAAGAAATGCTTGAAATTAGTCATTTGAACAACAAAACTTAATATTGATTTTAAAGGTTTATTTTATGGATGTATACATCTGATAAAGAGCTAGAAGATTTAAAAGTACTTGAAACTTTGTATTACTAATTTTATTACTGTTTTGAGCTCTCCAATAAGGCAGACTATAACTAAATTTTGAAAACTGGAGATTAGTTTTAGTCTCATTAATTAAAGATTATGACATTATCTTGATATATTTAACTTTTAGTTAATCATTTAACATATTTTATATCATAAAATTAATTTAAAAACTAATTATTATTTTAAATTTTACCTTAGCTGCTATTTTGTCAAGTATCCTACATGCAGGCTCCACAACTTCTGTACATTTAAAATCCAATTTAATACCTTTATTATTATGGCAAACTGCTGTATAAAGCCACTCTTCAAGGGTCATATCACTAGCACTATCTGGTGGTTGAGCCATTACTGGAAGAGGATATGGACTGTTGCATGCCATACTTACATCAGCTTCCAACATCATGGCAGGACCTTTAATTATTCATGCAATTAAATTATTATTATAGTTATTAAAATTACTTATTATTTTCCTAATAAAAATAAAAGTTAAACAAATAGAAAAAAGTAAAAAATTTAAATTAAACAAGCTAACAGGATAACTAATATTTCTCTCAATTCTTATTAAATTGAAATGATATTAATTATTCTTAGTGTATTATCTCATAAATAACACTCAAAAAATTGTTTAAAATAGATTATTGTTATCATATATCATTCTAAAAGTAAATGTATTTAAGCTAAATCATATTATTTCAAACTGAAGAAAAATTTAATTACACTTGTATACACATGAATTCACAGTGTACTTTATACCTCTTGAGCCATTCTAGCTCCTAAATAATTGATATTACTTTTAAAATTTTTGTTTATTCAAATTATATTATTAGCAGAAAGTTTTCATTGTCATTTTAAATCTTTACTTCTGGAATAAAATTTTAAGAGAATAAAATATTAAGAAACATTATTTTCTTCCATACACACTATCTGAAATCATTTGTAAATTTAAAATTTCATTTTAAAACTGATTTTTATAAATGACTTGCAGTGTAATAATTACTTTTGCTTTGCATACGATAAAAATCATTTATTCTATAAATAAGATCTAATTGAATTTATATATAATTATTCACTTTAAGTCGAAAAATTTTCTCATTACCTTAGTGTACATAAAATAATTCCAAAATTTCAAAATAATGTCAGCAAAATTTGAAAATACTGTAAAAATATTAATTTTATGTTTGTGTTAAAACATAAAATTGGTATTTTTATTTTATGAATATTAGCAAACAAAATCCTCTTATGAAGTTTTAAAGTTGGTGAAAAGAATTCAGAGAATTTCACCATAATAAATGATTTTTGTTACTTTAAAAATTTTAAAAATTAAATCTCAGGAAAAATTGCTTAAAAGCTAATTCTTAAAATCAAAACAAGTTCCATCCCGCAGAAAATTAATTTCATAATCTAAATTTAGAATATACAAATGCCATGACTTACATTTCAAACATTTACTATAATATATATAAAACATATTATTATACTTGATCTAATTGTAGTAAATGCTACATATATACTCAGGTTAGTAATTAGTAACATAAAAATGTTAAAATATTTGTTCCATCTTTCTTAAATAAATAAAGTTTCATTTTAAGAAGAAAAATTATATTTCTTTGAGATACGAAATAGAATATATTGTAATTCAAATATATTTGAATCACAATACAAATTTAAATAATATAAATAAGACTTATTTGTTCTTTTTCTTAATATTCAAATTTATAATTATATTTCATAAAATATTTAGCAACACCTAAAGACAGTTTTCTTCATCTTTCTTAATTATTGGGGTGTGTCAACATTTTTCATCTTCATTGCATGAGTTAAGTTTTTTTTACATTTAAACATCTTTCAGAACTTGTCTTATAAGACAGAGGAACAAAATCATATGCCATAACAAAAACATATTCCAAAGATTAATAATATTTAAATTATCATTGTTTCTCTTCTATCTCTATGTAAGAATAGAATAAAAACAGCAGTTATTATCCAATTTTATCAAACAAAATTATTATTATTATTGTCTAACAATAGATTAAATTAATGTAAATAGCAATACAATACATGTATGTCTACTGGTGTATATTATCATACAACATAGATTTAAACATTAATAAGTTTTCGATAATTTTCTAAAATTTTGATGTTAAAAGATAATTTAGTTACAAAGGACTATTACAAGATCCAAGTTTAATTTCTTATATTCAGAATAAAATGTTACAATGTTATAAGAGTTTTAAAATAAAGTTAAACTTAATTTTAAAAATGTAGAATTCCTCATTAATGAACAAATCAAAGTTGATAAAATCAAAATTTAAAAATACTTATTAAGCATATCTTTTAGTATTAAATAATAGATACTTAATGATTGTAACAATAAATGATGTATTTTAAATGGTAAATCATTAATCACAAAAAGTTCTTGCAGACACATTTTAAAATTCACTCTTATCATCAGAAATTTGATAATTAAATTTTCACAAATTGTGAATATAAATTCAATATAAAAATCATCATTTATAAAGCTATTTTGTAATAAAATTATAAAATTCAGTTTAAGCAAAATATTTAATTTTATTAGATGTTAATAAAATCCAGTTTAAAAAGTTTTTAAAAATTTATCCAATAGTACCCAAACCTCTAAACTATTTTATTGCATATTTGAAAAGTATTACTGAAAAATTATTGTTTCCTTCAAAAATCTATTGAAAATTAAAGTTATATGAAAATCACATATTTAAATTTTTCAGATTAGTTTCAATTACTCTAGAAAATACAATCTTCAAAAATGTTATAAGATTAATAAATTTAAATCCTTTTAACACTGTTTATATAAATTTTATGTCATATAATTTAAAATTTCTTAACACTTGTTATGAACTTAATGCTTTTTAATTCTCCATATCACTTTCAAGAAAAATTATCTTGTTTTATATTAAATAAAAACAATTATATTGAATACATGGTAATCAAGCAAAAAGTTTCCTTAAAAATTCCAGCAAGGAGTTTAAATGTTATCACTAGATTCTACAGTAAATAAATCATTAAGATTTAAGTGTACACAATTCAGAATACTTAGATGAAGAGCAATAAGCCTGGCCACTCATGATGTTGCTATTTTTCACAAGTTAACTAAAAACTGAATATATAAAAAGGTATAACTGTCAAGTTTTTCAAAATTTGTTATATTTTTTTCAGCAAAAAAAAAAAAAATGTTTCAATGCTGATGTTAGTAAAAGGGAAAGAAAGTGCTAAGGCTATTAATTTAATTCTCAGCTTTTCTCCTAAATAGCATTAACTGTAAGTTACACGTGTATTTCCTTAAAAAACGCTGAATGTGACCACAGCTGCCAAATAAATACTGATTGATTGCATCAGCTTAATGTTGATGCAATATACATTGCTATTATTTGAAGTCTATTGTTTAAAATAATTTTTTACAATAGTAAAAAATAAAAAAAATAATCTAGTGAAAAAACAATAATAATAAAACATTTTTTTGGCCATGAATTCAAATCAGTGTAAAAAAGTCTGGTTAGGTGTACTAAATACTTGGCTTGGATGTCACGCCAACAGTTAACTCAATCAAAAACTTCAAACTAGGAGGCGTTAAAGAGAATTAAAAGAAATATTTTCTTTTAATTCTCTTTAACGCCTCCTAGTTTGAAGTTTTTGATTTAAAAGTCTGGTTATGTAAAAATTAAAAGTTTGCTAAATGTACTGATAAATCAGGAGATTACAAATGTTTTGAAGGGAGTAACTATACATCAAATTAAAACAATAGAACTCTTACCTCTTGATGTTTCTAACAATAAAAAGAACAAGATAATGCAAATGCTTCCTTACCTAGACAATGATGATGATCAAAGATAGTTTTTCCTACACATATTAGAAGTGTCATCAGATTGAAATTTACAACATAAAGATGACTGTTTATATGCACATTCCGTCTTTTTAAAGAAAACATAGTGTGGATTTGCATCTTTTCATAATCCTTAATTTTTGTATTTTCTCTAAATATAGAATTTTGTTTAAAAGTGCATTTTTTTGTCATAATCCTACTATAAGTAGCTTATATTGTATACAAAATTATTTCTGTACTATTCCATTTATATCATCATTTCCTAAATAATAAAATGTGTTATCCCAAAATTTTAATTTTTGATACATACTTCCTTTTTTTCATGTTTAGTCTTCAACTTTTTGTTTAATTACTTGAGAGCACTTAATAAATAACTAATTTATTAACCATTAAAAAGATGAAATTATTGATAAATAGCTAATTGTCAATTATTTATCTTTCTTAATAAAATATTAATAATGCATTTAAACTATGTTAAGTAATACAGGATTTTTATAGAATCTGGTAACACTGAAAAATTTATTACAAACAGACCATTATCACTTTCATAAAAATGTCATTATGAACAGAAAGTCTAAAAGTTTTTACACATCACAAAATATTATAGAAATTTGATGTGAGAACCATATGTGATATGGTAGATATCACATATGGTTCCAACACTGATGTTCAATAATTTCTTCAGGTATCCCAAATATGACAGTTATTTGTTGATGTTTCCATTTGTGTAAAATTTAATTTTGTCACTTAAAATAATGTGATTTAAAAAGGCATCATGTTGTTCTGCCTGTTGTTGAAACTACAGAACTAAAAAACAACCTTTGAGATTTTCTCTTCACAATGAGATGTATATGAAAGTGATATCATTTGTAGTCTATATGTAATAAAGTATTTTGAAGTATTACGGGACTTTATAAAAACCCTATATAACCCAAAAGAGAAAAGTGTGTTTAGTTTAAAAATGCTTGACTAAAATTTATTTCTGGAAAATATTGTTCTGTAAAGTTTTGAAAGTTAACATAAATAGATAATATATTAAATATTAAAAACAAAAGAAATGCTAGTGACTAGAAACTTGATGGATCTTAAGAATATAAATATTCTCAAGCACATTTGCAAGTTTCTTCACATGTATGTACATGAATTGCATAAATGTTTCGAATTGAATTTCAAAGCATTTATGCAATTCATAATTTAAATATAATGTTATCAAAATATTTTTGAAAAAGCCATTATTTTTCCACACAAACTGTCAGCTATTGTGGATGACCCACCTCAGTAATCTCTGACTACATCCCTATATACAGTATTGATTAATTGTAAATTTATTATAATTTAAGCATTTTTCAGTTTAATAGAAAAGCTAAAAAAATTTAAAGTATTATTTTCAAAATAATTCTTAACAAAATAAGATTGAAAAATCTTATTTTGTTAAGAATTATTTTGTTTATTATCTTATTTGTTAAGAATTAAGAATTGATATCTTATAATTATAAAATTTGTAATTGCATGTAATTATGTTTTAATATTAATAAAAATTAATTTTTACAAATTATAGAAATACAAAAATTAATAATAATTTATTATTATTTAGATACAGTATACATAAATTACACGTGTGATTAATTTGTAGGTTTTTTAGATTTATTTAGTTACATTAAAGTGACACATGGTCAATCTGTCAAGAGGGAATGCCCCCAGGAGGTCTTTTAAGAAAAACTGGTGCCTACTTAGGTATTACTAACATGAAGAAAACCCAGAAAACTCCACATAGCCAGCCTGTTGGTGAGGTGCAAACCCATGATCAGTGTTAAGTGGTTTTATCCACTTGGCCACTGATGGGCACAATTAATTTATTATTAAAGAAAATGAGTTTCAATGCTTCTACATTCACATATATTTATATCAACAGAAATACTAAAACACCTAAACAAGTAATTACATAATCAGAAGAAAGAAATTATTTAAATAATGAAATTCATACAACTGCAGTTGTATGATTTTCATTTTTTAAAACTTTTTTGCAGTTGTATGAAACCAAAAAAATTTATTTGAGAAACATTTTTAACTTTGTACAAGTCATTGTTACACTAAAACATTAAAAATACAGTGGGTGATCGGTTAACGAACATAATCCGTTCCAAGACTTTGTTCGCTATCCGAATTGTTCGTTAACCGATTATCGATTTATCATAGGTTTTAATGGGAATTTGATTAATTCGTTCTGGAGACTCCCCAAAATAAAAAATATAGGCTATACTTTCTTACTATGTTTATTTATATGTAATAATAAAATACATACGTACACAGTCTTGCATTAAACTGAAGAAACATGACCAATAAGTCATGTTTTTTCAGTTTGAAAGGGTTAAAGAATCTGTCTAATGTCGATTGCTTTTCTCTCTTCTTCAGGATTTTTCGTAAGTAATTAATAGCATTGCAATTGTAGAAATCCCCAAGCCTCAACCTGGTTTGGATGCCATTTTAAGACCGTTGTTCTGACATCATCCCACTTCTTTACAAGATCTTTAATAGCAGATATCGGCATAAGTCCGCATTTTCAGAAGAAAACATATCTTGCCGAGTTTCTTGGTATTCTTCATTCAAGAGTTCTTGGCATTCTTCTGTCGTCAGATCCGTTTCAGGTTCCATTACGAACTCTTCGATGTTCTTTATTTCTCATATGTGATTTTTGTTACTCCTTTAGCTGCTTGAGTCTTCTTGATTATATAGTATTTTTCTTAAAAAAATGAACTGTGACCTACTGTAGACCTGTTCACGCCATAGTACCCAGCAACATTAGGTATCTTCTGCCCACTCTCTACCTTTGCTATTATACTCTCACCTTACAAAAAAAAAAAAAAAAACAGACGCAAAACTTAACGAGTGCTTACCCGACAGTCTCGTGAATACATAAAAGAATTATTTTGTCATAAAAATAATAGGCTGCAATTATAAGGGAGAGTTTTAAAGTTCGGAGGAATACTATCCGATCGGTATATATCGGCTTGAGCATCGATGTCGACGTCTCCCACACTCCGAAAAGTTTCAAATTGTTGCCCGAAGACAAGGAAAGTCCAGTTGGTATTCGTTATTTTATGTCGCTTCTTCTTGTTTGTTCTGTGGGATGTTCGTTATCCGATCATGTGTTCGTTGTCCGAACATAAAAATCTTTCGCGAAAGTGTTCGTTATCCGATTTGTTCGTTGTCCGATCTGTTCGTTAACCAATCACCCACTGTATATAGAAATACAAATTTTAAACAAACAGAATAAAAAGAAGAATTCTTTAACCACTCAACAGTGAGGGATGGATATATCCATCCAGGGCAATCATGTAGCAGTGGTGAGGAACAGATATATCCATTAAATTCTTTTGAGGGTATTGCCAAAAACTACCACGAAAAAAAATTTACATAAAAAATGAATTATGTAACAATAAAAAAAGACTTTTCTTTACTAGACATAACTGTTTACAAAATCTTTATCCAAAATGGTAATGACAAAAAATGCATGGAAAAATACTTTAAAAATTTCCCACATTTATTCTCCACTACTTTGGGGTAGCACCATACCTGACTATACCTGACACTGCTGAAAGGTTAATGTATTAGAGCTGATGATGACTTGTGCAAAGTCAAAATTGCTCCTCAACTAAAAGCAAATTTTTCAGTTTTCCTTAATTAGCAGTTGTATAAATTTCATTAAATAGGCTATGTATATAAGAACATTATGATATAAAAATATTTTTTGTGTGTGTTGTTACAAAGAAGAGAAATTGGAAATTACTACAGTTTATCTTAATATGATGTTTATTTTATATATTAAATATTGATATTTATTAACAATTTATATGTTCATTTACTTTTGAAAAAGATTTTGAGATGAGATGTGAATGTCAGATTTCTGGAGTCAGTGCTAATTACCTATTAATAACAACATAACAGAATGAAAGTCTGTCTGTTTCATAAATTTGTTTTCAAAAAGGTAAAAAATGAAAATTATTTAATATTGAAAACACCAATAGTTTAAAAATTTTAAATAAAAAAAGCATTCATAATGATGAAAAAACATAGTATGGAATTCACACCAACACACTTAATTGAGAGAAAAAGAATAAGTCAACAAAAACAGTGTTAAAGGGCTTTATTTTAATTCCTTTGCTAGCAGTTTTGATATTAATATAAATATCGTCACCAGGCAACTGAAATGGAAGACTTTTTCCAAACAAAACTTTCAAAGTACAGAATTGGAACAACATTAATCAAACAGAATACAAACTACAATAAAAATTGCCAGGACGAATTCACATTAAGAAAAAATATATTTCTTGCTAGACTATACATACAAATGACTCCAAATTCTTCAGTCCTTTCACACACTTGTAGAGGCATTAACAAATCTTCAGCAGAACCAATCTTTTATTATAGGCTACTTGTCCACCATCAAATATAAAAAAAGTTAAAAAATCCTCTAGCAAACACAATTATAAAATTAATAATTACATTAAAAATTGCCAGGATGAATTCACATTCAGAAACTTTTTTAGAGCTAGAGGACTTTTTTTTTNTCTAGCAAGAAATATATTTTTTCTAAAAAGAATACAAACTTTTAACATAAATCTTTTTTTTTTTTTTTTTTAACATTTGTTTGGAAAAAGTCTTCCATTTCAGTTGCCTTGATGACAATATTTATATTAAAATCAAAAGCACTAGCAAAGGAATTAAAATAAAGCCCTTTAATGCCATGTTTTGTTGACTTATTCTTTTTCTTTTAAGCATTCATAATGAATAAAAGAAAACACATTTTCATTACAGGTTTGACTTTTTTTTTTTCTGTTTATTACATTTGTTAATTTTTTTCCTATCTATTTAATAAATTGAGATATAAATTATCTAAGTTTATTCATTACTTTGTATTAATAAATTTGAAAAAATAATAAGAAAAAATTAAACAAGTAAATTGTTTTGGTTTTTATACAGTTTTACTACAAAGATTAATATCAAAGTTAGAAAATGTTTTTTAAGATTTTTATGATATGAAATTTGTATCTTAATATTTTTAAATATCAGTATTCAATTTTGACTATCAATATTTTTAAATATTGATTGTCAAAATTTTACTTTGGATGTGAATTAATAAAAAATCAAAAGTATTACTAAATTAAATGCAATTATTTTGTTCAATATTTTAAAAATGTTTTTACTTCAATGTAGCCCCTAAGTTGAATTCCAACATACTTGGTATTCAACTTCGTTTTTACATAATACTAAAATTTGTAATTTATTAAATCAAAAATTATTACAATTGTAATTTGATATTTATTTATTCATGATAGCTTCAATAAGATTATAATGATACCATTATAGAAAAGCTTTATATACTTTCTGTTTAAATACATAAATTAGTTAATAAACTGAGTAAGTAAACATGTTTTTTCAAGAAATATGATTGTAATTATATATGCATAAAAGTTACCTCTGAGAGCAGCATCTAATTTTGCTTTACTATTAACTGCATGAGCCCAAGTCACTCTAAGACCATCTCCTTCAACATCTGGAAAATACTCTATAAGGCTGAAAGGCATGTCATATGCACAGGAATTATTCCTATTAAAAAAGTTTTAATGCATTAAAATAAATAAACAACAAAATTTATCTTTTTATAAAGAGTATGTAAATTTTTTCACATTAATGTTAATTTATTTAGAGACTTATATTTGATGCATCACTGTAAATCATTGTAAATTTTATTTTAAAAAAATTAAAAAATAAATTTGAAGTTATTATAAAATTAGCTTACTGCCATGCAGTAAAGTCTATCAATAAAAAAAAATTCTCCGTATTTTTCCAGTCTAATAAATACAAAACAGGATGTTTCTAGACAGATAGCTTCCTTAAATTTAAATATTCTGATGTCTGCTAGACCAGGTGACAGCAAAACAGGTTGTTGTTTACCAAATGTAGTACACCTAGGTGACTGGTACAACATTACTAAGAGAAAGTCACTTCCCAGTCACTGTTTTTCTTACATTACATAATATATTTATAGTGTAAGTCTTACATCTTAAGTTTTTATTAATATATTTAGGCTGCTTCACTGAAATCAATAAATTTCAAGAAACATTTGCCTTATTATTTCATAAGAAAATAAAAAATTTGTAAATTTGAATTAATTTAATTTATCAATGTTAAAGTTATTTTATTTTACTCATGTGTAAAATTGTTTTGATTCATTAAATAAAGAAATAATAAAAAGAAAATGGCAAAATAAAAAATATTAGTAATTATTTCTACACTTATCATGAAACAATGGAAATATAATAAAAATAATTTCTTACACTACTTTCATATGCAAATAAATGAGAGAATACAAACCAGTCCGAAAACTATTCCTAGATTACCGGTCAATGACATACAATTAACATTAAAGATAACAACAAGACTATAGTTTATATAATTATTTCTTTGAAACTTTCATAGAGTTATAACTGAAAATACCACATACTATGATGTTTTGCAAACATTTAAATTTAGAAAATGATAAAATAAAACAAAAGCTAAGCTAGGTTGCTATAAAATGCAATGAAATACAATTGCATAACAAGTATAATGAAAATTATAAAAAAATAATTTCATATTTTAATTTCATACTCAAGGCCTTTACTACGCGNTCAGTCATCTATTAAACCTAATTCTTATTATAACAGATAAAATTAATTTATATTATAACAGATTAAAATTAAATATGAAAATAAAGATAAATAATGCTAAATCAATCAATTTTCAACAAAATTTAAAAATATTTAAATCCTATATTAAATATATATATATATTCTCTTGCTAGTGAAGAAAGAGATTAAAGAATGCAGTTGAATAAAAAAATAGATTTATTTTCTATTTGACCACATTCTTTAATCTTTTTATTTTCTTACTCTTCTTGCACAGTGGTTTCTCTACTATATTTTTTCTGATTCTAATTCACTTTCTATTGTTTTTTTAAATATTTATCATATTAAAACAATTGCTTTAAAACATTAATCATTGCAATTTCATACAATTAAACTTTCAAAACAATTCAAAATTACATAAACTAAATATTCATTTCTTAAAAATCCAAATGAATATTTTATTATTAAATCTCTACCTGCATTACTATAACCAATTAATAAACTCCAAATACCTTTAAAATGCAGTCTATTTTAAAAAACTTTTTGAATGTTTTCGGTCAAATTAGCAGACCTTCAAGATCGAACTAACAGAATTTAAATTTGCCAAACGGAAATTCCAAAACATACGCTCTACAATCTTCTCAGATTCGATTGTGCAAGTAATAGCATCAGCATGGAAAGCGGCAGCATTACAATTATAAAGAACAAATAGACTTGCGCAATCGAATCTGAGAAGATTGTGGAGCGTATGTTTTGGAATTTCTGTTTGGCAAATTTAAATTCTGTTAGTTTGATCCTGAAGAAAATCTGTTAATTTGACCGAAAATGTTCAAAAAGTTTTTAAAAATAGACTGCATTTTAAAGGTATTTGGAGTTTATTAATTGAATATTTTATTAAAATTATATAAAAGTTAATTATAAAGTATCAAAAAATAAATTTAAAAAATATCTTTGCTGATTTGAGAGATGAGTTTATGACATTGATCTTCATTTAATAGATCACAAATTTGAATGCTATTCCAGTCACAGATTTTTGTCTTTTATGAGTTTTAATAAGGATTGTAACTGATACACAAGAAAAAATGGATGCATTCCTGATTGGGAAGAGAACTGTAGCCACATTGTTCTTATTATACATAGGTTACTTCTAAGTTTTGTCCTACACATCATCTATTGATCATAGCAAAATAAGCCTTTTGCCAATCAAAGCAGCATGAAAAATAAGCAAAGTAAAGTCCAAATCAAGATCCCATTTTCAGTACTTTCTCAGAAAGCATTAAGAAAATACCAGAAAATGGCAGTGTAGATGAAAATCAAATATTGGATGATTATTCGTTACAACTTTTTAATAATTTCAGTAAAGATGAGTGTTTTTCAGAAATGTTTTCTGTTTTGGGAGAACATTGTCCTTTCTTGAAAACCATTATGCAATGGTATAAACAGTTTAAAAGTAGTAATTTTGATATGGAGTAGGGATTGTAAATGTATCAACTTTTTCATTTACCAGTAATTCGGTAAATTAAAATTAAAATACCAGTTTACCGGTAAATTTTTTTATTGAAAAATAAAATTAAGATGATAAAAAATATAAGTCATTATGATTTCCATTTCACATTTTTTATTTCAAAGATATCAAATATAAAAAATATAAAAATTAAAGTATTATTCTAAACAAACTATAATAATAAATATAGAAATAAACAAAAATAAAATAATACAGAAAAATAAAAATACAACAGAAATAATATATAGTACCTAATACCATTTTATTGATTACCATCTTTTAAAATTAACTTCTCAAGAAAGTTAAATTATTTATAGTCTTATCTCCTAATTTTGATCTAATTTTTGTACAAAATAAGCCAGATCCCGAGAATACCCTTTCTGATTCAACACTTGTTGGACGAATGGTCATTAAATTAAAATTAAACAAAAAATACTTCACATAAAATTAATAATGAGGTATATTGTTGCTTACACTTACCTGTTTTTTTTTTTTTTTTCAATGCCCCTTTAGCCATTTTAAATATCTATTAATACAATATTTTCTACACAGAAATTTTTAGTATGGATTTTTCATTTACCGAATGTTTTTTTGTCAATTTATTGGTTAACTGGTAAATCAGTAAACCGGTATACATTCCCTAATATGGAGGACAACCCATGCTCAGATAGGCCAGCAGAAGCAGTGACATCAGAAAATATAGCTGCTGTAAAGAAATTTTTCAGTGAAGACAGGCAAATCACCTATCAGCAGATTCAGGAACTATTGAATATTAGTGCATCATCTGTTTACGACTTTCTGCACAAGCACTTAGGATTAAGAAAGGATTGTTTGCTTTGGGTGCCCTATTCATTGATAAAGATGCAGAAGTATAACAGGTAGAAAGGTGTAAAAAAATGATTACAGTTTGAGTCTGGGACATCCAAGAATTTTAGCAGCATTATAACGGGTGACAAGACCTAGCCGCATTATTATGATGTGCCAACAAAATCTCAGAGCAAAGTTTGGCTCTTTGAAGAAGAAACAATTCCAGTAGAAGTCCAAATATCACAATCAACAAAGAAACAAATGATTGCTGCATTCTTTGCAAAACTTGGTATTGTAGAGACAGTCATACTAGAAAAACAGCATATAGTCACTAGTTCCTGGTACACCCAAACATGTTTGCCAAAAGTCATTCAACAACCGAGGAACATCTGCCCAGACCCCAGCTTAACACATGGTTTCTCCACCATGATAATACTCCAGCACATAGGTCAAAGGATACAGTCACCTATTTGATTAAGTCTGGACTAACTGTTTCGGATCACCCTCCATACAATCCAGATCTTGTTCCCTGTGACTTTGGCTTATTTCCAGAAGACCATAAAAAAACATCTCAAAGGAAGACAATTTTCCAATGACGATGATGAGCTTCTGGCAGTGTGGGATCAAGAGTATGCCGATCCTCCAGAAGAAAAGTGGAAGGTGTGGTTTGATGACTGGTTTTGACATATGGCAAGTTGTATTGAGTAGTGGTGGTGAGTATCTTGAAAGACTAAAAAGTAAACCTGAGGGACAGAACTTCCGAGCAACCTATGTATAAAAATAAATAAACAACCACAATCGATTTTGGTTATTTATTTATTTTAGAATTCTTGTTATCATTTATTTTTAAATTTTTGTATAAGAATAATAATACATATACTAAAGTAATTTGAAATGGATCAAAGAAATTCCTATCAAAATAAAATTATTATTAAAATTAATAAGAAAAATTAGAAAAGTTTTATTTATTATATAGTTTCTGATATTAAATAACATTTCTTCATTGTCATTTAGCATAAAATTATACAGTATATTTTATTTTATTTGTTAAGAATCATCGAATGAATCCATATGTAGCATTTAAGTAAAAAGCTGCCTAAATATGACAGAATTAATGACCTAGAAAACTGATCATTTATTCACGAATCAATTGACAAACACAACAAAACAGCAAAATTAACAGCCAAATTCTTTCTTTATTTTTATTAAAAAGAATGAAAGCACTTAATAATAAAATACAAATTAGGTACAGCTGAATATAACAAATATAAAATATATGCTTAAATACATATATTAAGTGAAATCTTGCTTCAGTGAACATATTAATATAAATTCCAAGAGTTTGGAAGGCATTTAGTGTCTTCCAAACTCTTGGAAGACACTAAATGCCTTCCAGATTTATATACTCTTATTTGTTATGTTCAGCAATACTTGATTTGTATTTTATTTTTTATTTATTTTCTATTTGGCTATATTTATTAACATGTATACATTTTTTCAAGTGTGTTCATTAGCATAAGTATTTCAGATGCTTATGTTATTTATTTATCCATTTGTATACAAATTTTAATTTTTGTGTTCCTGTTCCTTTAAAGTTAGCTATTCAAACATTTAGTTCGAATTGTTCTGTGCTATTCCCATTGTTGATCTATTAAACAGATTGAAATTGTTTGGCAGTAAACTAATTTCACTGTTTTGTGTGTTTATTAATTAGAATTAATGAACATCTAATTAGAACATATAGCAGTAATTAAAAAATAGAAAGGAAGATGATGATAAAAGAAATAAAAGTTTTGTATCTTTCACTAGGAAAATGGTTTTTCTGTTGTATTTTTGTCTTTATTTTCTATATATATTCTTCTGACTCTATACTAAAAATAAAATATGACTAAAATTGAAATTTCTCACTAAAATTTCATGTAAAATAGTAATGCATGAATAAATATATATGTTTGGTTACTACCATCAAAATATGATTTGTTGATGTTTTTAAATTATTATAAAAATTATTTGTAAATTAATTTCATAAAAATGCTAGAACACATTTTATTTTATAATTAATTAAAGCATTTCTTGCTTGTAATCTAAGAATATTCATTAGGAATATTTGTATAGGGCCTATTAGTCAAATCTTCTTGTTAAACATCTGATAATAGATATATTTGCTAAAATACATTAGAAATTTTATTTCTGTGGTATTTCAGGTTGGCTAATTCCAATAAAACATTTCTTATGTGAACACATTTTGAAAATATATGCCTAAAGTAAAAAGTTTTCTCATGTTATTAAATTATTTTTTAATAGAATTTGATTGTTTAACATATAAGTTTTATCAAAACAATTCTACTAATGTTCAAAATTTTTAATCATTTTTAACCTGGGACCTTTTGTAGTCTTTAGTGCAGTCTGATAAAATATAAAATAGTCTACTATAGGCATTACTTGTTAAAAATTTGTTTTTCTTAATTTTTCAGATAAATTAACTTAAAAAATTACATTCAGAATACATGAATATTTTTTATGCATATTTTCTGAACATAGATATTTATGCAATTTGCAATACAACATTTAGACTCATGACATGATTCTGAAATGGGATGTGGTTTTCTGATTTAAATAATTTCCCAATCTGGTTCTATCCCTATCTATTCCATAATTAGAAAGCCACAAATGATTAAAAAAATTCTGAAATAATCAGTTTTTCACAATAGTTGTTCAATTAACTAGTCTATCATAGTTTAGTTAATGAGAGAAATACTTCTCATAAAAAAATAAATTTTTAACTTGATATCTAAATAATAATTATATTAGATAAATTTGTAAAATCAATTATTATGTATATTGATTATTTCTAAGAATATTAAATAACTAACCAAACCAAAGTCACTTGCTTATAGTACACCTATAGCATACTTGTTACTTAAAATATCTATTTAAATATCTACATGAAGTTGATCTATTATTTGCAATAATATATCAAACTTGTTTTTGATTCCTATATTAATAAAATGGTAAATTAGTTTCCTAAAATTGTAAGAAACAAAAAAGTGTAAAGAATGATTTTGTATATATATTTTTTTTTAAATTGTGTTCATAATCATATAAAACATGAGTAATCCAATTGTTAACTATTGTTGATCAGGTAAACAAGCTATACTTTGGACTTGAAAGGAAGTAGGTCTACATATTTCATTAAAATTAAATAATTTTAGAGTTATATGGTATATAAGGAGTTTATATGATTTCAATTACAAAATTCTCTTTTCTAGTAAATAATTATTTTCTAATAATGGTGGTCAAAATATAAAAGGAAAATTTAATACCAAGTTTTCAACTTGTTTAAAATTAGAAAATTTTCAAGAATGAAGTTAAAACTTTTCCAGGAAATGCTAATTTTATATTTTGTTACATTAATGAAAATTATTATTATTTTTATATGTGAACAAATTGTAAAAGTTAAAATACTATTCAAATAAAATACATGATTTTGTCTTTTGTTTGCATTAATTTTATTGAATTTTAAAGAAAAAAAGATCTGCAAAAATTATACTTATAACTAACTTATAATTCTCCTTAATAAACTACATCAGGAAAAAATTTTTTAAATATTCAATCTATATAACATAGTTTCTATTTTCTTAAATTATAACTTGTCTCATAAATAAACTAAAATTGGCAAGATTTATTTCTGTCAAGTATTATTAGCACCTTGATAAACTGTAAAACTCTCTATAGAAGGAAAATAACAATAATAATAATAATAAACAAAAAAGGATTCAGAAGTAAGCCTCTAAAATTTGTTTCCTACATGCCAAATTATTGGTAGAAACCAATGAGAATTTAAAAACAAATAAATTGGAACAATAACCTAAAACAAAATCTAAAATTGCTGTTTTCTTCTTTACAAGAGGAGACTAAAAACTTTATATATTGTGAAGCATATTACCAACATGAAATTGGCTGCATTCGGCAGACGCAACAGTTCCGGAGCTGTCGAGTACTATTCTGCCGAACACCCTATACAGTAGTACTGTTTTGGAACACGTTTGGTATTTTGACATCGCATTTAGTAGCGTCTTTCATTTACGCTGCCTGAAACCGACCAACGACAGCTGCTTTTTGTTCCAATCTCACTCAAGTTCAGCAGATGTAACTATGTAACAGCCACCGATTAAGACACCTTTGCTCGGTTACAACTATCGAGTCTGCCGAACACAGCCATCGTTTGACAACATACAATATTAGGTATCCAGGGTTGGTGCAGCATGTTATATCATAGTAATTGATAACCACAAAGTACATTGAATTTATCTTTAAGAAATTCATATAAATTTGTTGAAACTAAACAGTGTAGAAAATGCACAGGATGTTTGATAAATGAAAACATAATATTTTATCTTTAATAATTGTAACTTTTATCATAATAAATATACAACCAAAGCATTTATGAATTACATAATTATAAGCATATATTTAAACATTTTAGAAATAAAAAAAAAAAGATAATTACCTGTTAACATCCACTCCAATAAATAATTTAAAGATTCTTTCATTTATTCGCAACTGTTTAATCACAGTTTAGGTAGAAATGTCATTTTTCATTTTGGAAAACTTGCATAAAATATAAAAGTTCGTTCTGTATTTCGATGGACCAGAAATCATTTTTTGCACAATCTAAGAATGTGGATAGTTTTTTTTCTAAAATTATATTTAACGCGTATTTATTTATAAATTCTTACATTTTGATGATTCTAGTTTAAATTACTAACGCTATTTATTTACGAAAATGAATCTCGAAACTCAAAAAGAAAACAAAAGTAGAGCGAGACAACAATTACGAGAATCCGTTGACGGCGCGCATAATACTAACAACTGCGCTCGAACAAATGCAACGGAATAATACTGTAGATGGAGCCATAATTCATTTTAACACGTGATCGACTTTCCTGTTTTCTTTATTTAGACGAAAATTTAAGTAAACAGGATATTAATAAAATTCTAATAGAGAAAATTTAAAATATATATTGCAAAATCGAAAATATTTTAAATTTAAATTTTCCGTTTATGTAGGCTATACTGTATACTGTATATATTTTTCATTGTTTATTTATTTGGAACGTTTTTAACTTCAATTTAACACTGTTTATTATAACGTTTACAATTTAAATTCAAATTTATTTTAATCATAATATTTTTTACATTGAAATACGGTTTTAAATCTTGGTTTTGACATTGAAACTGTTCATTTTCGTTTAGTTTTTTTATTTATTTTTTAACAATTGTTAATTATATTGGGGAATTTTCTTTCCTATTGAAAAACATTCAAGAAATTATCATGTTAAATTTTGTCTTCCTGAAGCTCAAAGTACAGTACAATTCAAAGTGACTTCATCAGAGAAACATTTCCAAAATAAAACAAAAAATATATTTTTAGTTAATTTTTTAAATCTAATACAATAATAGTTTATTCTTAAAGTATTCAATTTATTTATTTTTAAAATTTTTTATAACAAATTCAAAAAACTGGCCGATTGAATAAATATCTAATTATTGTTGGGACTCTTGGTGACGTCATTTGTGTTTTTGGACAGATTTTTTTGTGTCATACGATGAATAACATTACATAAATATTGCATGATGTTAATTGAATATTAATTTATTATTTTTATATTTAAAAAGTATCAAAAGAAAGAAATATAAATTTATTTTTTTATTTTTTGAAAAATAGTAAAAAAACTGTTTTTATTTGTTTTATCAATTTTATTCATATATTTTTGTGGTTTTCTGAGAGGTAGTGTTCAGGACCCATCTCATTTTCCTCAGTTCTCATGCCCTGGATATTAGATAATTTAGTTAATTTCTGCTCCTAACTAGTTTTAAAAGTTTTAAATATATATAAAACTAAAAAAATATTTTTAATAATATACAGTATTTACATTATTTTAAAATTTTAATTTTAGAAGCTAAAATACAAATTTGAAAATTAAAATTTTCTTAGTATTACAACTTAATCAAAGAAATTCTCTCCATATTTTTCCTAAATCACATCCTATTTTTTCTATAAAAGTTTCTTTTTTATCTATAATTAATAATTAAATATAAATTATTATAGAAGTATTTTTATTACTTTATTTATACGAATTTTAATTATCAAATAAAAATATCTTGCCAATTGCCATATACAATAATTTTTTAATTACATTAAATAAATATCTATTTAAATACAATTTTTACATATAAAAGTTAAGAATGAATAATAATAAAAGAAGATTAATAGAGTTATAGAAGTATTAATGGTATTTATTGAAAATAAACTTGAATTGTGATTAATAAATATCACTTTAACAGGTGCAACGTATGCCTTTTATTCTGATTCTCTTCAGAAAAATGTCATAAATAGCAAGAAAATTTTACCGTTAAAGCATCCCGTCTTACAATAAAAAGAATGATATACACTGCACTGATTTTAGCGTTGCATATTATTGTTTCTTCTGGTAAGTATATTGTAATTTAACTGTTAAAATTGTTTTATCTCAATTTTTTTTTCTCATTTTAAAGCTTTTGACTGTAAAAAGGATGGATATTTTCAAGATCCTGATGATTGTCAGAAGTTTTATAATTGTGACAATGGTAAAGCTGCACAGCTAACTTGTGGACCAGGCACTGTGTTTAATGAAAAATTAAAAGTTTGTGACTTTCCTAATAATGTGAAATGTAAAAGCTGAAAAGTAAATTGACGTAAGTAAAATTTTGTATTTTTCATAAAATAATTTTTAAAATAATAGCATTTATTTTATAATAAATATTCCATATATTTATTCTTTAAAACAATGTCTTTAGAGCATCAGAGAAATGCTATTAAGGGATAATAAAAAGATATTAATTTATATAATAAATAAAAACACTAGTATTTGATATATATCCAATAAATCCTATATAATTTGAATATGGCTTTTATTTGTCTATTACTTTACCAACTCCATATTAATATTAAGACGTCTTTTTTCCTTGTCCACATTTTATACTTGTTTTCAGTTAATTTACTTATAAGTTTTTAATACAGTAATTTATATATCTTTATATTATTTTTAAAAATATAATATAATCACCTAAACTAAAAAAAGCAATCAGAAATATACTTATTTGGCTTATAACACTGTCCAAAAATATACTCAACACATTGAACAAGATTGCGTATTCTTTTTTATACGTTTCTATAATATATAAAAAAACGTGTTTTTTTATATTACGTTCTTTTTCTATTTTTTTTTTTTAATTTTTATTTTCATTTATCAAATAGTTTTCTTGAAATGTTTGAATTTTAGAAAATATAAACTCTTAAATTCGATTTTTTGAATTTAGTGAAACAAAAACTTTTATTCTCAATTAATTTAATATAATTTTCTAATTAATTTATTCAAATTCAAACATCAATCCTTTTCTAAATCTTTAATCTATGAATTAAATTTTAATGAAAGTTAATACAGTATTCTCGTTTTCTCGAGTAAGGATACCATTAGTTTGTACTGCAAAAAATTAATTTATTGCCAATTTATTGCAATCGTACATTTGCAGAAATCAATTTCTTAACTAAATATGTAAATGGATTTTTCCGAGCTGTAAATGGCTATACTGTACATTATTTAAAGAAACTAAATAAACTATCTCAGTTTACTGTTTATAACCTATTTATAATTCTTCATTGTCGATGTTTATAATATTTTTCCTTAATATTCGACAATGAATATTTTACTTTGGCTAAAGCAGGAGAGAACCCTTTCCAGTCATCATAGCCAAATCATTGGCGGAAAAAAAAATTCAAATTTATTTGTTCGAACTTCAAAATATTGTTTTCAAAAATATAACGATTAATATACTCTTTAGATGCAATACAATCATCTTGCATATGTTAATAAAAAATCCTTATTAATTATTCAAATGTTTTTAATTTTTGAGTAAAAGTCTCCCTTTGAGTTCTTTTGGATCCACACTGGGTTACGGGGCCTACCATATCAAAAACTAACAAAAGGAAAGAATTTTCCATCATGTTTTAATGTACGAATCTAAAACACACTCTACTTGTATTATTATTTAGAATAATAGATAACTATTTACACAGAGAGAGAGAGATTAAACCGTCCATGAAAATCATCGATCATCCAGTATTTACTGTTTATATAGGCTAACTCATTGATTCAATACAGAACCATTAGGCATATGTAAACTTTATATCAATTTATGGCTTTCTATATATTTTATGAAGCAACTTATAAAAATAAATTTATTAGGGACGGTGGAACGGCCGACGCGGTTAAAGTGTCTAGCTCTGATGGACCCGGGATCTAATCTTAGCAAACTACCGTAGGAATTTTTAATGGTTGTCTGTCCTGGCTACGTCGGCCAATTTCCCTCACCATTTGATGACAATTTTTCAAACGTTTTGGACTGAAATATAATTCGTTTAATGGATTCTTAGCCAACTCTAAGAAAAGAAAATACAGTCGATTTCCCTATAACACTGTTGATTATTCCCTTTTATATGAATTCCATGTTGTACGAGTCACAAGATTTTACTTAGATACGTGAGCAGTTCACAGCCCGGCATACGTATTTGTAAAATCTAAGTGACTCGTACAACATGGAATTCATATAAAACGGAATAATCAACAGTGTTATTGGGGGTCGACTGTAGATAAAAAATGAAAAGTAGAGTAAATAAATGAGTAATTTTTCAAATCATTTATAGTATAAGAATAAATAACATTTAAAAGTGATGATAATGACCATTTCTTACAAAAATTCCATTAATTTCTAAGCAGCTTTTATTGCAGGTTGTTGCAAAAGAAAGTATTACACTTATTGTCATAGTTTATTGTGTGATGGCGTAATTTTAGAAATACATTCTAAAATAATACAAAAATTCTTTGTATTATTTTAGGAAACGCCTTTTCTTAAAATTTTAAAAATGTTTTCAAGATTTTAGAAATTATTTTACATTGCTATCTTATTTTAATAAATTATTTAAGTTTTAAATACTCAAATAGGGTCTTAACATGAATATATGGCGAAATAATTGTCAAATTTAATAAATGTTATTAATACTGTATGTCATTTGACTTTTTCTAGAGGTAAATTATTTTGCATGATCAGCTTCAATTTTATATTATTAGTAGACTTGATCTTCAATAGAAATCAATAAATAATTTATTAACTTAAAGTTAAAAGGCGACTCGATTAGAGATTATGTTTATTTTTCGAACTCTAAACAATAAAAGTGATAAAGGCATCAGCCGATGGTTTCGAGTTAGAGTCAACTCTGAAATTTTCATGAGTTGAATTGGTTAGGATATGTCGGCCTCATCCCTCACTACCCGGCTGCCTTTATTGTAGTACTAGAAAATACATGATGAGCATGTATAAAGGTCCTTTTAATGGTTACAGAAAGAAATATTTTATAAAAAGGTATATTTTTCTACTATGGGTGTAAAAAATAAGAATGTAGACAGAGCCGGATTTACACTTCTGATCCCAAGTTACAATGCATAAATCTTTTTCAGTCTCTCCCAAATAGTAACAAGTTTAAAAACGTAAAGCTCTAAGGTGCAATTTATTTAGCTTATATATAAATCCGGCGTTGTATAATATCTAGAACAGGTTCTAATTCGATTCAATCAGAGCGAAACACGGATATTTTCCTATGAATAATGTAGTCATCCGATCATCTTTATTTNCCTTTTCTTAAAATTTTAAAAATGTTTTCAAGATTTTAGAAATTATTTTACATTGCTATCTTATTTTAATAAATTATTTAAGTTTTAAATACTCAAATAGGGTCTTAACATGAATATATGGCGAAATAATTGTCAAATTTAATAAATGTTATTAATACTGTATGTCATTTGACTTTTTCTAGAGGTAAATTATTTTGCATGATCAGCTTCAATTTTATATTATTAGTAGACTTGATCTTCAATAGAAATCAATAAATAATTTATTAACTTAAAGTTAAAAGGCGACTCGATTAGAGATTATGTTTATTTTTCGAACTCTAAACAATAAAAGTGATAAAGGCATCAGCCGATGGTTTCGAGTTAGAGTCAACTCTGAAATTTTCATGAGTTGAATTGGTTAGGATATGTCGGCCTCATCCCTCACTACCCGGCTGCCTTTATTGTAGTACTAGAAAATACATGATGAGCATGTATAAAGGTCCTTTTAATGGTTACAGAAAGAAATATTTTATAAAAAGGTATATTTTTCTACTATGGGTGTAAAAAATAAGAATGTAGACAGAGCCGGATTTACACTTCTGATCCCAAGTTACAATGCATAAATCTTTTTCAGTCTCTCCCAAATAGTAACAAGTTTAAAAACGTAAAGCTCTAAGGTGCAATTTATTTAGCTTATATATAAATCCGGCGTTGTATAATATCTAGAACAGGTTCTAATTCGATTCAATCAGAGCGAAACACGGATATTTTCCTATGAATAATGTAGTCATCCGATCATCTTTATTTTTTTAATATAAATTATAGAATTATTAAAAAACTGAAAATAATAAATATCATACGTTTTTTAAACATTGAATTAAAATATTACGTGCATAAAGATAATATTTCTTTTAACTTTTATTTTTATTATCAAGTATTTTGCCTATTACTTTAGTAATCGTTTATAATTTAAATTTTGAAATGAAACTTGATGAAAGTTTTTTCTGTAATGGCTCTGAAGCGAGAAAAGAACAAAAATTTGATTTTGTTCTAGAATTATTAAAAAACTGAAAATAATACAGGAATTATTTAAATTAATAAAAATTATTATGTAATAATAATATTACACAACAGGAATTATATAAAGCACCAAAATTTGATTTTGGTGCTTTATATAATTCCTGTTGTGTAATATTTCAAGTGAAATATTTCTGTAATAACCAAATAGATATTCGTCACTTATATTTGTATTATAAATTAACATTCGGGTCCAGGTATAAGAGGACAAACAGAATCTAGATAAAAGAAGGTCAATAAAGACCATTTGACACTAGCTCCGAACACAGGAATGCTCTGAAAATTTAGTCTTTTATGTCATTATTTGAGAGGGATGTAAATTAAAGTTACATTTGATAAGTGACAAAAAAGAAATCTATTTTTGTTTGTTTTATTGATTTTTTTTATTTCTTTATACTTACATCTTTCCGAGAAAAATGAGATCTTATATTTATTCCTTTGAATAGGTGTACTTATTATTTACATTCAAGTTATAATACATAGTCATAGAATATAAAATGTCGATCAGTTTCTTAAATATTATAATATAAGGATTGTATCTTGACACATGAAAATATAAAAAATATATTATTAATAATAAGTTATTGTAAGGTTGGCATGAAGTTGACATTGAACTTTTCACAATTTCCTCGAGTGACAAGTTGATTAATTAATTCTAAAATGAATGTCTTTCGCTCGTTAGCATTAGTAATTTAAATGTAAGCACTGATTTACATATAATTCGGTATTCTATCTAAATGAGTAATTATAATAATAACCCATTAATATCAACAACTCTATCTTATAAAAATTAATAAAATATTCTTATAACAATGAAATTGTTAATTAAGATAATTTTAATTTAATATGAGGAAATTCTATACATATTTTTAAATAATCTTGGATTATATAAGTCAAAGGTTACTTGTAAGTATGGAATATTTCTCATGGCTCGTTTCGTTTCGTTCGAATGTTTATTTTAAAAATAGTTAAATCAACAATTAAAAACTAAAATGATTTTTTTAAGATTCAAATAACCTAATTAGAAATTTTAAAAAATTGGGAATTTAATTTAAAATATCCCACTTTTACTATTAGAATTTTAAATGCGTGTGATATAATCATGTAATTTGTATTTGCCTTAAATTATAGGTCTATTTAGTATTCAAGTTATTTAACTCATTAAAATGTCATTAAAAATACATATTAATGAGAATTTAATTATTTATATGTTTTATCTGAATTATTAACAAATTCATTATTACAAATGATATTTACTCTTGACATTAAAAGGATAAAATTATTTTTTTACATTAAATCATTTCATACTTTTTAGTAAAAATAATTTTAAAGTTACATTTTAGTTAGAAGTTGAGAAAATAATTTATAAATAGAAAAAATAAGTGAAACAACAGACAGATAATTTAAGTTTTCTATGATATGCAGATGTTATTTTATCATATTGATTAGAATTATCTATTTTTATGAATTTTTCAATATTAAAGACGATAATTTACCATCTCAGACTGTTTGACACAAATTTATGCTTGAACCCGGCACATCTAATCTTGACATTTTACGATGGAAATACCAGTGTTGGTATCATGCAGATTTTCGTATTATATCAGCAATCAAGTCACGAAGCTGTCGATTTTGTTTGAAACATCAGCTTTTTATTGTTTTTTTCAGTCACGATTTATATTTAGTACAGAAACATAAGTCGCATGACCGGAATATACAAAATCCATTTTGTTTGTAACATTTATACATATTAATATTTGGTCCTTACACTGCAATATTGATGAACATGTTGAATNTTAGAAATTTTAAAAAATTGGGAATTTAATTTAAAATATCCCACTTTTACTATTAGAATTTTAAATGCGTGTGATATAATCATGTAATTTGTATTTGCCTTAAATTATAGGTCTATTTAGTATTCAAGTTATTTAACTCATTAAAATGTCATTAAAAATACATATTAATGAGAATTTAATTATTTATATGTTTTATCTGAATTATTAACAAATTCATTATTACAAATGATATTTACTCTTGACATCAAAAGGATAAAATTATTTTTTACATTAAATCATTTCATACTTTTTACTAAAATAATTTTAAAGTTACATTTTAGTTAGAAGTTGAGAAAATAATTTATAAATAGAAAAAATAAGTGAAACAACAGACAGATAATTTAAGTTTTCTATGATATGCAGATGTTATTTTATCATATTGATTAGAATTATCTATTTTTAAGAATTTTTCAATATTAAAGACGATAATTTACCATCTCAGACTGTTTGACACAAATTTATGCTTGAACCCGGCACACCTAATCTTGACATTTTACGATGGAAATACCAGTGTTGGTATCATGCAGATTTTCGTATTATATCAGCAATCAAGTCACGAAGCTGTCGATTTTGTTTGAAACATCAGCTTTTTATTGTTTTTTTCAGTCACGATTTATATTTAGTACAGAAACATAAGTCGCATGACCGGAATATACAAAATCCATTTTGTTTGTAACATTTATACATATTAATATTTGGTCCTTACACTGCAATATTGATGAACATGTTGAATACTATTTACATTCGAATCATATCAAAATAAGAGTATTTATTTTCCTTATACTAAAATGTTTTTAAACAATACGAAATGGCACATGCGGTTACAAACCTTGGATAAATGTAGAGAAACGTTTCCTGCTTGTTCATTGACGATCTGTTTAATTAAAACTAATTGTCAGAGTAGTCACGGTGTCACTGCAAACATAATACTCGACGAAGTCAATCTATTTCTGAATAGAATAAAATTGAAAACGTATAGAAATGTTATAAAAATATGAACTTTTCTCAATAAGACAAACAATGGAGAAAGGATAAAGCATACTATTTCATTTCTGAAAAAATAAAGAATGTTTAAAGCAAAATAATTTTGTAGATAAGAAGTATATATATATATATATATTTCCCTTTCGAATTTGTATATATTTTCATGTAATATTCATATATCTTTCGTTCCACGGGGTATGTCCAAAGACATTGAATATTTTTCTTTTTAACTTTTTTCTCTTTTACGGATAAGGTATACCAGTGAAATTTCAAAAATTAAAATTGGCATTTTTCATATTAGAAATGTAAATATATATCTTTTCTTTATTCCGGAAGTTAAAAAGTAAGCATTTAGCACCTTTTCCTCATAACAAGATCTATCATAAAGGGCGTGCTTATATTTTTGAATTTGTACGGAACAGATTCCTACTTGAATTAAGTAGAATCGCCCTAAATATAGGATGTTTACAATTTTACAAAATGCATATTTACTTAAATATGTAGAATAGTTTTTGAATATTTTACATTAATAAACAATTCGATACCATCATTATATAATTATTCTCTTCCTACTTCTTCCTGAATATCGTCAACAAATTAAAATTTATAACTTTGATTTTTAGTGAAGCAATATAACAGAATAATATATAATAATAATTCTTTGTCTCTTTTTTTTATAGACTTACTAGCGACATTTGGATCTTAATTTTTTTTATAATCATTTTAAAATGCATTTTTGTATGGTATTTTTGAAAATGTAGTAGTTATATAAACATTATTTTATCTTAAATTTTAACTTTTTTTACGTTTTGTATGTATAAAAAAATATGATTCCTTAAATACTTTTATACGAAAATAGTGAGAATAACATTACTGTATAATATGGAAATATATTACATCTCTTTCGTAATAAAAGTATTACGAAATAGTTGTTTATTTTAGATAAAATAGACCAGTTTACCTTTCCAATTCCACTTACATAAAAGTAATTTTTTCCCCCTTCCCAATCTTCAAGAAAAAAAAAACATTAGCCAAGGTCATCTTTTCGATTTACCGTAATTTTAAACCTGATCGTAACAAATGTTGTTTGTGGTTTTATTTCTTGTTATTCGCTTCTACTGAAAATATTAACGTCATGCATCAATACAGATTAAAGACATTCCAAATAATGCCATAAATTTTATTATTAATACTTTTAAACAATTAAATACTATACTTAGTATCGAAATAAACAAATACGTAATTTTATAGGCATTCTCATAATTTTATTATTAATTGAAAATAACAAATTAAAATTGTACTTATACAGTAGAAAGGAATAGACAGGCTGAAATTGGAGTGACACTGCGTGAACAGACAGAATCCATTAAAAATTAATTTGTAATCGTCATTGTCACGGCCAAGATTGTCTAAATGAAAAAATTAACTGCTAAAGTGTGATTTTTATTATTTAACGAATTTGCTCTTTTTTTAAATTTTTTTTTTAACTAGTCATACAATTATTTTTATAATAAAATATATTTTTATTTATATATAATAATCTTAACTACAATGAAGCAAAACAGTAACATCAATTTATTTACGAAGGCATTAATTGTCGAACATATCAGTAAAATTTTCAATAATTATGAAGTTTTCTGATCGTGGATGGTTGCCAGTGCAGTCTTAATTTAACGCATGGGCATGCAGGGCAGTTGTACAAGAGCCCCACGCTAATTTATGCACAGATCAGAATTTAACACTATTTTTCCCATCGCCTGCTGGTTGTGTAGACATGGTTGCCCAGGGACCGTAATGCTGTTAAGATGGCCCTGCTGGTTGCGTAAAAATATTAACGGCTTGTGAATTTGAGACGATGGTATCAGAAAATATTAGTTGCAATTTTGTAGATTGTGTAAATCTGTAAGCTATAGTATTATTTTTCCAGTGAATACTATTGCTAAATATGCGAATTGTTATCCTTGCAACGTTACCAAGATTTGTATGCAACCGCCCAGTTTCGTCACTTGACGTCATATGCTTATGAAGGTTGACGTGCATGCATAATAACTGTGTTATTATCGAAGGCAGATAATAAATAATCATGTTATGATAGGACAACTTTAAATTAAAAATTATGTTTTTCAAATTTTTTATTTTATTTTATTGTGCACTCTGTAATTACTTAAACATTAATAGTATTCATACGCCTTTATTAATATTCAATTATGGTATAATTTTATTTCTCAAAATAAATTTAAAAATTTGTATTTTATCTTATTGTTTTTGTTATTATAATTATATGTTAGAGTTTTATATGATTTTAAATTTTAAAAGTTTGCTTAATTATTGACGACAATGATGGAACACTCTATTATAAAATATAAGTGAATAGTTGCATGTTATATCACAATAAATATGATAAAACATTTTAAAATTTTTTATTTTAATGTAGTTTTTGACTTATTAATCTTTTGTATTTTTTAAGTATCGGAATGATGTAAGAAAACCTAAAAAAATTTTAATTGATGAATTAACAATTAATATTTTTTTATCTAAACCAACTTGATGCCATTCATTTCAATTAAATTATCCTAATTCTAAATTCTGGGGCTTTGAGAACTTGTATGGAACCGGAAGATACAGCTTATCCTTTTCGCCTTTTCGCCATTTTTGTTTGAACGAAAGAAATACATAGAATGTCCCTTTATTAATAAAAAGCAATCTTTAAAGATTTTATTTTTCGAATAAAATATACAGTAAAAACTATATAAATCAGAATCTCGCAGTACCGAATATTTTTTCGTTTTGAAAGGTTCTTCTTTAACATACCGATTTTGTCGTATTCTGTATAATTTAAGTAAATATTTTAACTTGAACGTAACCAGAAGAAAGAAATACTTATAAAACCCAGAATCGGACTATTAATTACTGTACAAATATGGAATTCTCACTGCACAATTCAAAATTACCATTACATATTTTGTGTCCAGTTGCACGTTAGAATATGTTCTGTTTCTCATTGTTCTAAAAACACTTGATATAAAATAATATCTGACAGAACACGTCAGTACTAAACTCAAATTTATAACTTTTTGTATTGATGAATTCGAAATAGAATAAATAAAGTATTGCTTCTTCATGAATATAGCGTATGGCGAAAATAATAACATTAATTGTCCATTTTTAGTTCAAATTATTTTAACTCCAATGTCATGCTATTTCTAAAATAGCAGGACATTGGGCAGGTTTTTAAGTCTTAATCTACATTTAAAATTGGCATGATAATTGCCTTTAATGTTAATTGCTTTCATTATGTAAATTAAAATTATTAATTTAAATAACTACGATTGTAACCTGCTGCTATTTTAAGAACAACAATGCTGTTTTATTTAATTTACAAAAATATAGACAAAAAGAATTTGGTTAAGTGGCAAGTAATATGGCGATAGAATGTTTACAAATACAACTTTAAATCATATGATTTTTGTGCCGTAAAAATGTAAAGATTCAAGTGTTCCAGGAGATAAAAAAATTTGAAAAACACTGGTATAGCATCTTATCCACTCCGCTACTGGTATAGCATCTTATCCATAAGACTTCCAGACTTATAAGCTAAACAGTCAATTTTCAGAGGCCCGTTTTTCGGAAACACTTGAGAAGTGGATCCTATTATTTAGACAAGGAACCATTTGTGTTTAGGGCTACATGATCACAGAATTTCATTCGAATCGGAGACCCAAACATCTGGTCGTCTCTTTATAAGATTGATGTCGCGGTCTGATAAATCGCGAACATAAAAATTCGAATTAAATTTTGATTTCGTATAAATATTGCCTATCTTAGAATCAATTTTAATCATGTTTTATTCATATCTACAGCTTTGCACGTTGTTGTGATTTCTACTAGGGTTTATATGCTTGAAAATATAAACTTATAATATCATTAGTTTTATATATATTTTTGCATAAATTAATTTTGAATATCAAAAATAAAAGTTTGTAATTATATTTGTTAAAACTTCTGTGTTTGATTAAAAAAATTACATTTTTAATACAAAAATGTCAAAACAGAATGTAAACTATTGTCACCTTAGATTTATATAGTCTATATATCCGAATTATAAATATGATTTACTAATTTGTTTATTGTAAGAATTTTGTAGAAACCTAACGGAATTATAATTTGGCAGCAAATATTTCAAAAAGTATTTTGTTAGAAAATTAAGGAATTAATGATTAATGACAAAAATTAATTGCTTTGCATATAATATCAATAGTACTTTCATAACGTACACTACCTGGTGTGCTTTTTTATACAGAATTTGCTAAAGCATCTTCTCGTTCTTGAAAATGATTAAACCAAAATAACCACAGAATAAATGTGCATTGATAGTACTTTTATATATAAAGTACACTTTGAAAATAAATGTTTAGATCACTAAAACAATATATAATTTTGATATTAATATTTATTAACCCACAAGTATACTGTATATCCGTATATATATAGAACAGGGCACTTAACAGCCGCCGATTCTCCATATTCAGTCCGATTGCTTTCTACTAGCTGTATACTTTATCTTGCATAACTTTATATTAAAGTGTTCAGTTATTGTAAGAAATTAAACTAGTGTATAAATTAAAAAAAAAAATTAGAAAATATTAAGTGTTAAAGTATATAGAAAAGGAATCAAACAAGGTGCCGCCCTAATTAAAATAAACACAGGATATTAGATTTTCAAATACTGAAAGACGAGGATATAACATTTTAAATCAACGCTATTAGGCCTATGTGAAATTTGTTACAGGCAATTGAGTGTGGAAACCGTTGAAACTCAGTATCGATTTTCAAGTTTTTATAAACGAAATAAAAAAGACTGTTTTCAATAATAAATGATATTTAAATATAATAGTAATGAATAAAACACGAAGCTTATTTTCAAATTTTATCTATTAGCTTTTTATTAAAGCAAGAAATTTGGAAGTGACATTCAAAATGTGCTATGTGACCGTTGTGTAATTTTTGAAAAAATCCTCAATTTTTATCCATGTCTTACAGGTCGTGTAATTTTTTAAAATAAAGTTACCAGATACCATTTTATCTGTGCTTGTATCCTAATTTGTTATGCTAAATTTCAGAAATCTTTATTTGATATTTTGAATTTTATGCATTACATAGCCCATATCGATCGAGATACAATACATATACATAGCACGTTTTCATTCAAATGTAATTTACACTTAGCACGTTTTGATTGAAGTAATTTCATATTGTGCTTAAAAAAATGAATTATTTTTTCACATTTTAATATTTTTCTTTATTTTTATTGCTCAAATGGAAAAGAATAAATCCACACTCACTTCTAATTATGAAATAACAGCATTAAACTAATAGTTTCAATTTCAGTACATTTCCATAATAATTTATATTTTAAAAAACGTTAGGGAAAAAAGTCATATATGAAACGATAAAAGAGAAGGGTTACGTATGGTTCCTTCTACCATATGAGTGTTACGTGTAAAAAACAATATCCAAAATCGTCAAAAGAGCATGCACTGCAATATTGCAGTGCATGCTCTTTTGACGATTTTGAATATTGTTTTTTTTTTCCTTTCTCCAGATTTCCTACCTTCCGGATTTCGATAAACGCTTCCTACTGTTTTTTGCTTTAGCAAATTTTCAATTGTCAGGTGACCTTCTTCAGCATCCATCTCGCGAAAAGCAGCGAGTAACGCAACTAACTTACTATCTTAAATTACTAATTTAATAATTATTATCAATTATTTAATTAATAGGAACCAAAGGTGATTATTGTGGCCGTCATCTATACTTGTTTTATTCAAATAGCACGTTTTGAAGTGATCATACTTACATAGCACATTTTGATTGCATCAATTTTTGCCACATAGTACATTTCGTTTGGGACATGAATTTCTGCCACTTTTACAAAACAACGAAACAGGCTCGGAAGTGAAAAGAACATCCCGATATATGACATTTAGTTAGATGACCGACACGACTCTATTGCTAAAGAAAAAATATGATGTACAGGTCAAGCCACTAATTTAAGGTGGAGAGCATATATTTTAAATTAAATAAATCAAAAATATGATTAAAAATTGCAACCCGACATTGTGACGAAATCACAATAAATACTTATTCGTTAGTCTTTAGTTGATTTTCAAATTGTTTATATTTTTAAGTTTTAATAATTTTACTTATTTTTTCGTTTTAATTGCACATTTCAACATCTGTAAAGCTAAGCTATCGTGAGAATAACACCTTACATTTAACACTATCTTTTAAGTTAATTATCATAAAAATTTAAACAAGAGCCAGTTTCCCACGATTATACTGTTCATTGTGATAATGAAATTTGCTATATAAAGCCAAACGTTTCATAATTATTTGGGATACATAATGGAGATTCAACTGCTTCTTCTTACTCTTTTGCCTTACCTGTCATCGGCATATATTTGCGGAGAAGATGGCTATTTTAGAGATCCAGACGATTGTTCCAAGTATTACTGGTGCGTCAAAGGAATCGCCGAAGAGTATAACTGTGCAGGAAAATTAGTTTTTAACGAAAAGACAAAACGATGTGAGTGGCCTGAAAATGTCGACTGCGAAAATACAGTGAAAGTCGTTCGAGATGCTCCAATGGCTGGTAAGATTTCTTTAGTTTTCAAGTTTGATTTATGATTAATTTATTGCAACAAGTGAAAATAATTTTTATATCGTTGTTATTTAGCAAATTTTGGAAATAAAAAAGTGGTTTGCTACTTCATTAATTGGGCTTGGTATAGAAAAGACAAGGGCAAATATCTCCCGGAAAATGTAGATCCAACATTATGTACCCATATTAATTATGCTTTCGCAGTATTAGATGCAACTTCTCACACTATAAAACCGCATGATACTTGGGCAGATATTGATAATGACTTCTATAAGGTTAGAAGAAATTTTCTAATTTAAACCATTTGATGATTATCATTTTTTTATAAAAGATACTTTAAAGAATATTAAGTTAAGAAATAATTACTGTTGCATATTTAAAATTTTGCTATTCTTTTTATTATTATTTTTAGAAAATAGTAAATTTGAAGAGCAAGAATCCTAGTGTAAAGGTAGCATTAGCTATCGGTGGATGGGGAGATAGTGCTGGAAACAAATATTCCGTCATGGTTTCGGATCCCGCGAAAAGAAAAAAGTTTATCGATCATGTGATACCATTTTTAAAACAATATGGTTTCGATGGGTTAGACTTAGATTGGGAATATCCAAACTGCTGGCAAGGTGCATGCGGAAGTGCACCACAAGATGTAAACAATTTCTCTGCTTGGATTAAGGTATGTAAAATTTCTAAATATCACAAAACTTCATTTTTGAGGATTTTGTCTTAAAAGATCTATAAACGTTCTGTAATGAAGTCCACAAAGATGTCTAGACATTTTTAAATACCTAGGATGCATGGAATCCATATACAGGGGGGGTTATAATTAAAGTTGCGCTACTCAGACCTGTCTAGAGCCCGTTCTCTTGAGCGTATTTCGATGAAACTTGGTATGTATGTTATATGGACCATGGGGAAAAGAAAAATGCAAAAAGAATACTTAGTTCGAATTTTTACTACTAGGTGAAAAAATGGCGCATGAAGAACAAGAAACACAAAATGGAAACACGCAAAAGATTTTTATTCACAACATTTGTTCAATGTGCAACAATTGCTTGCGCACAAACATAAACTATTATACATTCAAGAATCATATTTGAAATACATACCTCAGACGGTCATAAAAGCACATACAAAATATGATTTAGCTATAATCACAAACTCGACTGACCAGACACTACATTCATTAACAAACAAAACAAAATCACGTAACTTACATCATAGACATAGCTGTACCAAACATCTACAACATATAAAATACATACAATGAAAAAGCTAGTAGCCTAAATAATCAGAACTCGACTCGCCACAAAATAAACCGTCTGTGCAGAATGGATAGTGTATTTATTGTGTCAATAATCCTTACCGGCATAGGCATTACACCACATACACTAAACAGGTGTTGAAACATTAGGACTTCACAACAGCGTATAAATTGAACTACAGAAGATATATAATGAGAAAATTCTTAAATATACAAATACATATACGAACAGCACGTAAACACAATAGGTTATTGTGTAGTTATGCCGGACCACAGTCAAGGCGTAACTACATAATAACCTATTGTGTTTACGTGCTGTTTGTATATATATGTATGTATACGGCAGAAGGCACTAGTATAATTATATGGGTATAGGTTACACTCTATCAACTCCACCATAATAATAATTATTAAGATACGATAATATGATAAAACAAATAACAATATGTAACTACACCAAACGTTTAGAGTTTGAACAATTTAATTTTAGGGTACAATTAGTGTGTGAATAAATTCAAACTATTCATTAATTTCGATAGATAAAAGTAATAAGATAATTTTATTTTATATTAAATACAGTACATAAAAAACAAAACTAAATGCTTCTATAGATTATATTTAGATTTTACAACTAATTAAAAAATTGGAAACTTATAAGAAAACGGGACATTTAACGATAAATCTATCTCACTAATCCAGTTACATTTTTATTTTCCGACAATTTTAAGAAAATCGAAATATTATGATAACTCATTACATTTATTTTTAATTTTAATTTTTCTCTATGAATGGTTATTTAATAGATTAGTACTCTATTAGCATATACCAAACTATAAATTTGTTTCTGTTTTATGATGAAAGCATTGCGAAATAAAACAACCAGTCTTGTATTAACTTTAATTTAATATGTAAAATTTTATTCTTTTGAAAAAATATCTCAATAAAATTTTCATTTCATTCTTTCTTATTTTCAAAATCTGCTAATGCAATTTACTTTATTAAAATTATTTATATTTACGTATTAATATAAATCACTTTTTTGTAGGAATTAAGAGAAGCATTCAATAAGCAAAATCCTCCATTGCTCTTAACAGCTGCAGTAGTTGCCGCGAAAGATAAAATAGACCAAGCTTATGATATTCCAGTTCTTGGACAGTAAATATGTAGTTTTTAATGATTATAATTTTGTTTTGCAAAATTATTAGAAACTTTTCTTGATTTGAATTTTTCTTTTTCATTTTTTCACAGATATTTAGATCATATAAATATTATGACGTACGACTTCCACGGAGGTTATGACGGAAAAACAGGACACCACGCACAAATGTATCCTCGACCTGGAGATGTTAATCCAGCGTATAATGTAGTAAGTGTTCTTTATTATCACATTTATATATACTGTATTAAATGAAACTAAAATTAGAAAAACCCATTATTTATTATTTATTAATTAATATATTAATATTAGGAGACAGCTATGCAACACTGGGCAAGCAAAGGAGCTCCCAAAGAAAAATTAATTTTGGGTGTGCCCTTTTATGGTAGAAGTTTTACTTTATCCAATCCTTCTGCTAACGGCCTAAATCAACCCGCTACTGGAAATGGCAATGCCGGAGAATTTACAAATGAAGGAGGATTTATGGCTTTTTATGAGGTAAATAATGATAAATATAATAGGTATTATTTGAATAAGGTTTGAAATACAAATGCACCATTAAATTTTTAAAATATTTATTTATTTATTTATAGATCTGTGAAAGAGTAAAATCGCGTGGATGGACCAAAGCTCGTGATGACAAAGCAGGCCCATATGCTTATCAAGGTAACCAATGGGTAGGATATGATGATGCTGAGGCTATTGCTCAGAAAGCTAAATATGCTAAAGATAATGGATACGGAGGAATTATCATCTGGGATATCAGTATGGATGATTTCAGCGCATCATGTTGTTCTGTAAAGAATCCTCTCATGAAAGCAATTCAGTATGGGCTTACTGGACAAGGTACACCACCTAGTGCTATGGGTTGCGAATAAGGCTTTTATTTCACGTACTAATATAAACTGTTTTTAAAGCTAGTCTTGGAATAAAAATATTTTGTTCTTGTTACTCTTGTTTATAGTGAATATTGTATTTGTTTTTAATAGAATAGTAGAGAGAAAATAATGGTGATATACGATTATACACTAATTATATATAGTAGCTAAGATTCATTGCTGAAGTTATTAAATCTTCAATTTTTTCAATACTTCTATATACAGTCGTAAAATGTTTTCATTCATATGAGCAAGCGTAATTAATTCCATGATAGTTCGAGAGTCACAGCAGTGACTCCCCGCCAACTAAAAATGTCACAGACTGACTATACAGAGTGTTTCATTTAACTTGAGACCGTGAAATGTCTCGAGAAATACGCACCTTAAGAAAAAAATGTTTGAAACAAATTCTCAGTATTTTGGAAGGGTAGTTCAATCCCGCAAAATTTAGTCTCCTTCGCTGCCCTTTGGGAGTGGGTGGGGGCAACTTTGTAAATTTAAATGGAAACGCGGAATTTTTTTTTTCATAAAACGACTTTGCTAATTTACACCGATTACAGTGGCATCTGCACGATTTTAAAAATTGATTCAGATAAACTCTACATAATTTTTCACGTAGAATCCGAATCTGCTATGAAAAATGGGCGTTGTCATTTGAATTTACAAAGTTGTCCCTGTCCTACCACCAGGGGCAGCGAGGGAGCTAAATTTTGCGAAGTTGATCTGTCTCCTGCAATTTATTGAGAGCTTGTTTCAAGCATTTTTTCTACGGTACGTATTTCTCGAGATATTTCAGTCTCAAGTTAAATAAAATGCCCTGTAGACTATATATAAGAATCAAAATTGCAAATTTTTGAGGATTACTTTCTCCGCTCCCCAAACACTTCAAATAATTCTGAATATCTCGTTCGAAAGATAATTGTTTTATTAAGTAATGTGCAAAACTTCAAAATTTTCTATAGAGCGGTTTCCGAAATATAAGCAATTAAAAAGTGCAAAAATCGCCGAAAAAGCTGTACTTTCTTCTTTTCTTTATCCGGCACTGCAGACCTCGTAGAGAAAAACTACTGGGTCCAGAATGCTCAAATTTTAAACTTAAGCCTTTCTTGTTATCGGTGAGGAGCTGGCGAAACTTTCGGGTCGATGTGTCAAAGTTTACAGGGGTTTCCCATAGAGTTACTTCAGTTTTTTAGCTTAATTTTATGCTTTTAATAATAAAATTATATGGAAACAAATTAAATTTATTCAAAATGTTATCCAGAATAAGAAAAGCGCAAATTTATGCAAATTAACTTTTTATAGAGATGTTTCTAAACGGCGCGCTCGGAGACCGCCGACCGAATTGTGCAGTATGTCATCGTCTTATGTCTTGATGTAATAATACAATTATTAACTAAAAAATAATTGATATCCAAACAAAAATATTTTTGTAAAAATATGCAATATAAAGATTTTTGGATTTGAAATATTAAATTTTTGCATAATTATTATTATGCAACAATTTTATGAAGTATATAGTGTACCATATTTCATTGCTGTAGTTGTTATAAGAAGTAATAGATGAGTTTTCGTATCTTCAAAGTCAAATTTATGTTCTAATATACATATTCTTATTGTAAATTCAAATACGAACATAATATTTTCTTATCTAAAAGAAAACAGCAACTAGTTGCTCACCTTTCTCAGCAGCATTTAAAATTGCCTGTGGCACCATCTGTTATAACATTTTATTTAAAACTGTTTATAATTTAACTATTAAAAAATGGCAAAAAACTTAATTTTGAGGATAGGGATAGATTTTATAAGAAAATTATAAATGTTAATAACAATTTAATAGCATCAATTCCCTAATATACAAACCTTCCCGCAAAATTACAGAAATATTCGACAAAAAGAACAGGAGTTATTAAGCTTCAAAGAGTATGAACAAAATCGTGCTTCCCACACCCACATTTATAATACAGAAAATCTCGAAATTTTTGCATTTCTCGACGTTTCAAGGTCCCACGTCCAAAAATGTAAAAGTCTTGGGTAGTCATTTTTTTACCGATCGCCATACTTTCTTTTTGTTATATGTAACAGAGTTGATAGGATTTTTAACGATTCAGAGTTCGAACAGTCTCTTAGAATGAATTAAATTCGAAGTACGAGGCACCACTGTACAGAGTGTTGTTTTTTCTCGTGTATTTTTGATTTTTAAAAATAATTTTTATTCTAAAATTTATGGACCCTACTGTGTCTTAAGTACTGAATTACAAAGTTTAGTTTCCTATGGCATGTCTACATGAGACACCCATCATTTAAAAGTGAAAGTTATATTGAAGTTGATATTGATTTCTCGGCAGCAATTTTATAAAGTATTGAGTTATTCTTTAAATCCCCAAGATTTTGTATTAAATAATAAAACTTATTTCTATAGATTTGTATATATCTAAAGTCATAAGTTTTACATTCTTCGCGTAAAAAATGTGGTTGAATAAATGAATTCACTTCAAGGTAAAATAATAAATTTACTTTTAAACATAAATGAGTTTATAACTTTGTGAAATGTATATTTATCTCATAAATTTATTTAAAATATAAAAAATAATACATTAATCAATATTTCAAAAATATGAATAGGCTTAAATAAACTAATTAGAATATATTTCAAAATATCTTTATGTATTATTAATTACTTTTTACAGATTACACAAAATAATTATTAAAAATTAACAATAAACGGATTTTGGTAAATCTTATTTTTCGAAATTATAATTAGAAGAACCGATCAGTAGAGTAGCGTAGTGGTGGAGGCAGGGGCGGCCGGCACTTTTAAGGGGCAGCAAAATTTCACAATAAATAATAATAATATCTTGTAAAAATTTGAACCATTTCATTTCATATTTTTGTCGCACCTAGTGTTACCACCCCTCCGGAACTATTAATTTTGTCCGGGAATATCGTGCGCAACCTGTCGACCTTTTTTTTTTTTTTCTTTTGCTTGCACGATTCGTATTCGTACACGTCTCCAATATCCGATAGAGCTAGGTCATCTGTAGAAGTTTTTCTTAACTTTAGTTACTTACGTTATTCCTACCCAAGTCTCCCTAGTCCCTAATTGTAAACGATTTAGAACCGGCATGCACTGCACGTTATTCTTCGCATTGCAAAATGACATTGCGCGTGCGTCAGGAACTTCTGTTCGAACAAACTCACTTGCTGTCCAGGTCAGCGATTTTGAAAAGGTGGCAACACTAATCGCACCTACGGTTCGGACCGATTGAAATGAGCAAGGAATTTTTCATTACTTATTCTGTGACGAAATTGAATTTTAGTCTTTTAAATTGAGATACCTAAATAAGGGGGGCGAAATTTTCCTCCGCCCCGCCCGGCTGACACTCACGCTACGCCACTGGAACCGATCGCCTTTCTTCATCTCACTTTTTACGAAATGGCAATGCCAAAAAGTAAAGGCAAGAAGAACTCAAATCAAACCAGTTATCCGGTAACCATCAGAATTATATGAAGAGGACTTTTCTCGACTGTCCAGTGGGTCTCAAACCTGCCAACAGAGTGAATGATATAGGACGAGTCTACGAAGCACATCTTACAGAAGAAGACTATTGATTCGCTTATAGAACCATCATGAGATTTTTGAATCTGAGAGGTAACGAAGATAAATTTGTGATCTGATTTCGTTACAAAAACCGGAGCCACTTGATACCTTGCATATCATTGCTATGACAGCATATTGAAATGGTGTCAAGAACATAACTTCTTGTAAACGAATTGCCACTTATGCCATTTAAGAGAGCGTGACATTGAGAGCGACAAAATTTACTCGTCAATTGAAAATAAATAGAACATATCGACGCTTTTTAAAATTTTAATTCAAATTATTGGAACTCCACTATAAAATTAATGAAGTACTGTATTCAAGTTTTAAGTTTGTATTTAAATTCTACGTTTTAGTATTTTATTATTTTAATGTTTTAAAAGTATTTGCTTTATTGTCATTCACTTTTCGATAAATTACCGAAGTTTTCAATTTGGCATTTAATAAATTGAAATACGAAACTGATTCAAAAAGTACGGTAACGAGAGCTCTCACGAGTGTCATTTTCCTCCTCTTGTTCGAATTTTCCCTTAGAGCAGCAGCGGAAGACCACAGCTTTATCGCACATGCGTTATATGGCGCAAATGTTGCGTCAGACTCTCGCAATGCCATTTTGAAGATGGATGCGTTCACGGAATCGTGGTCAAACATGAAAGTGCGTAGTGTAATTCGGTTTCTGTGTATGAAGGGTAATTTACCAGTAGAAATTCATCGTCAACTTGTTGAAGTGTACAATGGTAATGTCATGTTACGAAAACATGTGTGGGTTTATTGCACTGAGTTCGATAAAAGCAGGACAGATGTGCAAACTGAGCAAAGATCTGGTAGGCCGAACACGTCCTTCACAGATGACAACCTGTTCCGTATTGGAGGTCTGATTCAGGACGATCGTCGCATTCGTATTCGCGATACTGCTGAAGAACTCAACATCTCCGTGGGTAGTGTGCACAAAATCGTGCACGAGCGACTCAACTACGAAAGACGTGCTCACGCTGGTGCCACGGCAACTGACAGAAATTCACAAGATTTCCAGGATGGGATTGTCTCTCATGCACTTGCAACGGTTTCATGAGGAAAGACTTCCGTTTTTGCAGCGTATCCTTACAGGGGATGAAACGTGGGTGTCACGTCAACGTCATGGAAACATCCATCGTTTCCACCTCCCAAGATATTCAAAACACACTCCATCCATAGTGACTATGTTGAAAAATAATATGTACCAGTGCCATAATAATCTGTATCACTATATCTGCCTGTGAAATAATATTTGTACAAGAGAGCTCTTGTTACCTTACTTTTTGAATCACCTACATATACTTAATGAACTATCAATACACCTTCTGTTGCTGAGAAACGTTTATTAAACAAAACACTAACGTTTTCAACCTAATACAATAGACCATCTTCAGGTGTAACTAAAATTCGGACGTATTTTTAAAAATTTAACATTTTAACGACGGAACGTCGAATATTTTATATTTAAATTTAAAACGAAAAGATTAGATAAATTAACGAATAAATAATAAAATAAAATATATTAAATAAACTAAAACAATGACGATATAAATAATATAGTAAAATAAATAAAATACACAAAAAATGTATTCAAGTATACGGACAGGTGAGGACTAAGAATTTTTATATTTTAATTTTTCTCTTGTGTAGAACTTCCATGCAGAAGCCAATCCATCTGCATCCCTGGCATTAATACAACCATCCTTTAATTAATTTACTTCTATAGATTTCAATTTTTTCTTCGTGCATTGTTAATGATGGGAATAGCCCTGAGAATAGTCGTTTTTATTCCATTTAACTACAGTGCGCTCTGCTTGTGCCATACTGAACAAAACTGTGTTACAGTATCCTTTATTAATGTCATATTTGTGCTCCTTAAATAAAATAGCTAAATTTCTTATTCTGACCCCCAATATATAGTCTTTCTCAATTCGTAATTGAAATTACAGTAACACCTACGTATATTCAGTAAATGTAAACGTTCTTATTTAATATTATGAAAGTAACTGGAATATTTTCCGCGTAGCAAAATTATGTATTAAATACAACATTTAAACATCTATAATTTTTTTTATTTAAATTAACTTTAAGCAGAGTCGGTAGATTAACTGGTCTTTCGACTTCCTATCTTCGCTCATTGCTAGAATCAACTAGAGACAAATGTTACCACCAGGGGGACTGCA